CTTTAACATTCGGACTACGACCTGCTATCCTATCCTATCTATACAATTTACCAAATGTCGTCCAAATGAAAACGGTTCGGTGTAAGGCAGGACTAAGGAGGCTGGGGTGCGGCGATATCACCGTCATATCTCGTATATCGTTAAATTATATATAACTGTATATGAAATATTTATTGCATCAGTTTCAATTTCACCCGGACGGTTTTTACTGATCTGACACATATAAAATATAAAATAAAACATATTTAAAGATACAGTTAGAAATCGAAAAGAAGTGGGCTAATTCTGATGTCCTTGCAAAATTTCCCTCATTGCACACTGCATGACTTTGTCCGTCTACAATAGCCCAATTAGGTGCAGAAAGGGAAGACGTAAAACTCCATTCATTTCATTTTATTTAAAGATAGTTCCACAAAGTAACTTTTGACAAGTATTTAATACGAAGGGATAACTTCGTCAAATATTCACTTTAGCAGCTGGTAAAAGCTAAATTTTGGTCATAAAAAATAGGGAGAGCTTGAATTTAGCTCAATCGGTTGGTAAAATAAAATGAAATTTTTGAACAACTATACCCCTTTCATTTATTTTCTATTCAACGTACTAATATATGCCACCCTTTTAATTTTAACAATTTTGAATCAGACGTTATTTATCAGTACGTAGCAGACGACCGAGAGACCCGGGGCTGGTATGACGCACTAACTATTATCTCGATGATCAGGAAACTTTGTACCGGGAGAGTAGAGTTCAGGGTTCGACCATCTTTTTATTTCAAGTGGCTCATCCCTCATCGTCAGCTTCACTCTAAATCACTTCACATTTAAAGGGATAGCGTCATCTACATAATTGGTCTCAGTTACAGCTATCTGAACAGAGCTCAACTTCAGCTTTCTGAATCTAAATATTTACTTTACCATCTGATAGACCCCAATTTCAACTATCTGTGACTTCCTAGAATTGGTTCTCCTGCAATTCATGAGTACGCATAATCCATCGTTGACCTATCACGAATAAGGATTTTGACATGGTCTTATTAACCCCGAAGTAGTCTGGCGAATGGGGGCGTGGTTTGGACACGATGTACATAACCATGTATAAAGTTAGACTCGTCACTTTCCTGGCCGTTATTAATATTCTCATCTGCACTATTAACCAATTGAACCAACAACAAAAAAAGTTACTAAAGATCCAACCCACAAAACAAAAACCGGAAATCCAAAAGAACAGTTTGGCAATAAGTTCTGTCTCCATAGGAATTCTAATATCGTTTAGAAGATAAATATTCAGGCGAGTGTATCCCTTTAACCAGTTACCAATCTTACCTAACAAGTTCCCGTGAATAATTGTTGGTGAAATGAAATGAGTTTTACGTCCTACTTGTCTACACTAATGTGGACTAATGAAGACGGTGAATAATTGGCGGTGTAGAGAGACGAGACAAATTGTACAAAAATGTAGAGTATGGAGCATTAAACGAAGTGAAATGATATTTCCGTCCTTTTATTCTTTTGCAATGAAGGCGAGCAACACCATGCCGTGAGCAATTAAGTTTTTTCAGGAAATGGGCATTTTTTCAATTTCCAATTACAGTGTGATCTTTAACGCATATAGCTTCTATCACATGGGGCCTAAGTTTGTTGTACCTCCGACCTGCATCACTAACAGAAAGAAGTCTGGGTTGAATGATATAATCTTCATCTCCACCATGGCAGGAATCGAACCCCGGTCCCTCGGGCACAAGTCTCTACCAACCCAGCTCATAGAAATTATCAAACCAATACCTGCATGATAGAAGAACGATTCTATTGTTGACAATCGTTCAGAGAATATTCCATACCAACTCTACTGTCAGGGGAGGGGAATCGACTCTCTGGTTGTGTCAGTTGTCTACGAATACATTTTTTTGATTGTGTTACTATGTAATAATTTACAGTAATATGGGCAAAATAGTTTTTAAAGAAAAAACAAAAAAGTCTAATCTTTCACCCTACTTTAAAAGCTAATAAATCATATGTAATAATTCCAAATTTTAGAGTGAAATTTGAATTTCTTTGCACCGCAATCTGGGTTTTCAAAAACGCATATTGGCTAAATACGCAATATTGGGCTTTATCTATATTAAGTCAAATAATTTTCTAATAGGCCACTTTCCATCCTTGTGGGTCACTAAAAAACATTCATTCTGGGCTATACGTTATATGTATTATGTAATAACGCAAACATTTTTTGCAACTATAACATTTCTTGAATTATATCGAAAATATTCCAAATAACTAGAGAATTTGGAATTAACCTCATTCCGAATGGCAGCCCATACACTCCTTCAAAAATTCTAGAAATTTACAACGAAGTACAAACGGGAAGACCAGACTCCAGGGAGAGGGAAAATGGCAATTGACCGAGATATAACCCGGACATGTCGATAAAGTTATAAAATTTATCAGTTTCTAGCTGGAGTAGACGGGGTAATAGAACGTGACCCGACTCTCTGACTGTATTCAATTAATTCTTTCTTTCACGTGAGACTGGGGTGCGTGCCAATATTCCCCCACCCTCGAGAGCGCGCGCCAACATTCCTGGTCGATACGTCTGTAAATATTTCCAATTTACGCGCGCTTCGAGTCGATAGCAAAAACCATCAAAGTGAAAATTTTGTTTCGCCAAAAACACAATCCCGACCCACGACCGCTCAAACAACAGACATTTTTTTCTGTAAAAAACGTGAAATATTTTTTTCATGACGCGTGTCTCCCCGCAGTCAAACAAAATCTTTTCATTCAGTCTGAAATTGTGTAAATTGTAGTCCTCTGGGGGAGAGTACAGAAACAATGAGGACTGGTGAAAATGATTGCATTGGGAAACGGGTTAAGTTTTGAATATTGTTTAAATGTGAACTTTTGATAGTGGCTCAATTAAGTGTGAGTGGGGGTATTGTATATGCTCTCGTGCATTCTGACGAAGTAAATTTTATGCCTTTATTACAGATCAAACATGACGCCTTTTATAGTCTTGGGCAATTCTCAAAAATTCAATGCGAATTTGACAAAGATCTTACCTTTAACCTTATCATGTATAGGCCTACCTAGTTTATTCAAGATACATCAGAAATTTCATATTCTGTCTCTACAAGTCAATTTGACGCATATGGACATAGAATTGATAGTTAAAATGACTTAGAATATTTTACTATTAGGCCTTACGATTATTTATACAACACCTAACAAGCTTAAAAGCTCAATGTCAAGGTCGTTTCTCACCTCGTAATGGCGGCCTGCTGCAGTTGTTCACCACAAAAATCAGACGTGGATTCGAACCAGTAGGAACGATGCTGGGTTGTTGTTTGGTCTTGCGACTTGCTGTGTTCCCCCGAGGTGTCGGTCGTGACATTTTCAAGTCTTATCGATTCTTGTAGAAACCGCCAACAGCTAAATACACTAGCAGACGTCAGAAAATATGGCGCGAAAACAACTCTGCCACCTGATTCTAGTCTGGATTAACATGACGTTATTTGTAGAATGTCTTTCTTATTAGCCTCGATCAAAAAGACCTGGACGCTGTGGAGAGAACAAGGCTTGTACCAAATAATATCACACGGGGGTGTAAGTCAGCAGATAGAAGCCTGGGTAGTGGATGATCCAGTGTAACTGCTATATTGTCCTTCTCGTTACGTCAAGCCTACCATACCTCCAGTGTGGCATCAACTTCAACTAAACCAAGCCCGTCCTGAGTGTAGGACTAGCCTAGTCAATGAATCAGAAAAAGAGTTGCCTGACAAAATCGCCACTTAAGAAGACAGGACGACAGTCACGGAGAAGTCGAGGATCGAGGGTGTATTGTTATAATAATGTTGGTCAAAATAGCTTTGCCAAAGTCTTAGAAAATGCATCCATTGGCGCAGATCTATTGATGAAGTTGGTGGGGACCAGTTACCCCCCGTCTACTACGCCTATGATTACAGCAACATGATCTGTCCGTCTTGTGTTTAGTGGTGTAATTAAGGGGTAATGGCCGGAGGCGGTCTGTACATTTTAGTATGCCGAACATATTATTGTGTAAATTCTGATAGCCTGTAGGCCTACTAACAGACTACATCTTTTTTAAGGGCCTGGCCGAAGAAATACTTTTTTCAGGTTCATTTGTATACCATAAATCTTGCATTTAAATGAAATTCACTGAAAGACACGTAAGATATATAATTTAGTAGGCGTGGAGCCTTGTGGCAGATTTAACAAACCACTAGCGTCAAACTACGAGAAATATTTAAAGTGTTTTCGGCTTGAATTGGGGGTGGTGACTCTCTTTACTGTGTGACATTCATTTCTCTAGCCCCCCACCCCTTGTACACACACACCGACCCTCAATACATATACTAGGTTATACTCATATTATCTCGGTTACCACGGTAACCAACCCCGAGTAGGGCGTATATCGCTACAATATCAATATTTTTTGAATAATTTTCATCTCACACCCTCCCCTCTAGTTGTTCAGGTTTGACCGCTATCTTAATTTTATGTACATGAATACGTGTACTCAAAATGGTTGAAATATTGAAAGCATAAAGTAGGCTAGAGTAGAAGACGGAAATGAAATGGGGATGACGAGATGAGTTACACCATGAAGTGTGCAATGAACGGACAGTGTCTACCAAACGGACTACCATGAACGTTCTTCTGTCGCTCTGCAAGATTCAGCTTCATGGAAACTTTTGAGGATTGGCGAATTTGTCATTCGTCTGCTCCTTTTCAGTTTCAATCTATTGTTTGGTTATTTTTCCCATCCCACCAGACACACATGGGCAAACCAGGTTAAAATATTCACAGATATCTTGATCTATCTATGTATCTCTGATGTTTTACCTTTACTCTAAAAAGGTTACAAGAAATTTGAAAGAAAGGAAAATGAGGGAAATTTTGCCAGGTTCTGCATCAGTCAGTTCATTATGCATAGAGTAACAAAATATTGGGGTCTCTCTCTCTCTTTTTAAGTGTAAACAAGATTTAGAAGTTTATACTTGGTTTAACCAACTTTTATTAAACATTTCTGAAATATTATTTCAATTGACAACTTTACATGTGAATTTCTTTAAACAGAAACAAAAGAGGGACATTGCATTCTACTTTGACAGTCTTTTAGAAACTATGGGACATTTTATTACAGAATGAAGGAAAAATCAGGGTTTTGTGTCTTTTGAACACGCCGAAAAACTTCAGTCTTTAATTTGATTGTTATTCGTATGATACTTTACTTGAAATAACAATTAATCACTAATTTATGAAAAATATTCAGTCCTGAATCGGTGCTTTTCAAGAAAACTTTTTTTTCATCTTTTATTCAAAAGTTTTCTTTTTTCTTTACTTTTCACACCTCAAACAATGTAAAGATGTTCGGGGAAAGTTTTATCAAGATCTATGCCTTTCAATTTTTGTTGTGGTCAGAATATATTTCAGAATTGAGTTACTTCCCTTCCCACATATTCTCTTTTTTCCTTTTAATTTAGCTGTTTTTAGAAATAGGGTTGTTTGTTTCGAAAAAGTAACCAAAGCCTTACAGAGACAGACAGACATGAGAGCATCCCAAAACAATCATTGCTTTCTTTTGTATGCCCTTATATGGTGTTCAAAATTTTTGTACATACAAAAACACCAGTGGCATCATTGGGGTCATCAGAAATGAGGCTAGCCAAAATTTCAAATTTTTTATCTTAAATACAATTGCCTGTTAGCACCCCTAGACAATTCTGTAGTCCTAATAAACAATTTTTTAGAAAATAGCACATTTCCAGCATAAATAAAATAAATAGGACAAGGGGACATCTCAGAATAACCCAGGATTTTATCAATAAAATAAGGATTTTTTGAAAATTAACGCAAAACTTGGACACGAAAGAAGTAAATTAAGAACATGTTAAATCGTCCAATCAGAATTGAATACAGTATCACAATGTATATACAATAGTAATGTTACACCTTGTCAAATTATCACCATGGAAATCCCTCCATACTACACAAACATATTTATATCTTTCTCCGGGATAGCCTGGTAACTAGGGTCATTCCGTCGTTTCTAAGGAAATCCATCAAAATCTTCGTCAGCAATTTCTTTAGCACTTTCCAATTCTTGTTGTTCCCTTTCTCTTCGATCCTGTAATAATAAAAATATAAATCATTTATATACCATTTACTAAATATACAATATCAATTAATAAACTTCCTCTATACCTCCTTCCGTCTTTTCATTCCTACTCTTACTCCTCCCATTTTCTCTAAACCCAGGTAGCCTGTTTAATTCTTAACCTCCTCACCCTCGTCTTAACCTACCGCAGTATCAATTAACCCTGACACATACCAACCCCTGTCAAAACCCACACCCCGGTAATGTTGTATCAAGGTCCTTGAAAAGTATAAATAGAACCTCATAATGTGAGTCTAATCGGTCTGAAGAGTTCAAACACGAACGAAACTAGTCACTGAAAATCAGGGATAACTGGTCACATAGCCAAACTTTATCTCTTTTACAATATCAGCTGGTCAAGAAATCATAATTTGGCCTGGGAAAAAAAAAAGGACACAGAAAAATGGCCTGAATGAGCAAATAAATGGAGAAGAAATAAGAAATAGAGGGAAATATACCACTAATGAGTGAATGAATTGAAAGATTGACAAAACATACATCAACTTTAATACTACAGAATACACTGTCTGTATGAGTATGTTAAACGTTGAGTTAATAAATGTTAGAAATAGTATATCTATATATCTAGTGATTCTTTATAATATTTGATAACACTGTCTGTATGAACATGTGAAACGTTGAGTTAATAAATACAGAAATAGTATATCTATATATCTAGTGATTCTTTATAATATTTGATAACACTGTCTGTATGAACATGTGAAGTGTTGAGTTAATAAATATTAGAAATAGTATATCTATATATCTAGTGATTCTATATAATATTTGATAACACTGTCTGTATGAACATGTGAAGTGTTGAGTTAATAAATATTAGAAACAGTATATCTATATATCTAGTGATTCTTTATAATATTTGATAACACTGTCTGTATGAACATGTGAAGTGTTGAGTTAATAAATATTAGAAATAGTATATCTATATATCTAGTGATTCTTTATAATATTTGATAACACTATCTGTATGAGTATGTGAAGTGTTGAGTTAATAAATATTAGAAATAGTATATCTATATATCTAGTGATTCTATATAATATTTGATAACACTGTCTGTATGAACATGTGAAACGTTGAGTTAATAAATGTTAGAAATAGTATATCTATATATATAGTGATTCTATATAATATTTGATAACACTGTCTGTATGAACATGTGAAGTGTAGAGTTAATAAATATTAGAAACAGTATATCTATATATCTAGTGATTCTTTATAATATTTGATAACACTGTCTGTATGAACATGTGAAGTGTAGAGTTACTAAATATTAGAAATAGTATATCTATATATTTAGTGATTCTATATAATGTTTGGTAACACTGTCTGTATGAGTATGTGAAGTGTTGAGTTAATAAATATTAGAAATAGTATATCTATATATCTAGTGATTATTTCACACAGATATAGAAGCACAATAAACATAGATATCATTAAATTTATCTTTTCTGTAATTCCAAATTGTATCAAAACAAAACTACTTGTGATTCTCAAATTTGTTTTTTGTATTGAGTTGAAAAACTGACTTCAACAAAACAAACTATTTTCTTCGTTTGAATGTTGACTTTTCTAATTCTCCCTGTGACAATCTTAGCCTCTTCTTCAAACACACCAGGGACAGCTTTTTGTCCTGGGACCACGTCCTGTGTGTGAAGGAATGCTTGTATGGGGGGTCGGGAATCAACAAACATTCCCTCACATTTCACCCTCAAAGAAAAGAAGAGTTGTTCAGTCAATAGAGAAAATAAACAGTTTCTTTGTCTAGTATATTGACGGGACGTTGATAAAACAGCTGAGTTGACAGACTAAGTTAGACTCAATCAGTTGATTTCTTCACAAGTCAATAAACAAATAAATCATTCACTCTGATTCTAACTCATATCTTTACTAATACTTGGATTAATAACTCAATCCTTCAGGTAACAAATCAACTGATTATCAATTTTCACCTTATACACAGCTTCAAAAAGGGAGTTATAATTTTAGGCTCTTAACTCTGTGTTAATGATGTCAATATACGATTAAATATTTGATTGATTTTAAATAATTGATTTGTTTCAAATTTTTTGGGAATTCTTGGAGACTTATTCTTAAAAACTTAACTAAGGTAAAATCCAGATTATAAGAAATACAGTAATCTGATTGGATAGAAAAAATTAAATTTAAAATCGATTTTAGTGATTGACTGAAACACTAAAATTTAGCAAGTCAACTTCTCAAGAATATGCCATGGGACAGATTTCTAACCAATAACCATGGTTAGGTCCTACCAACATCAACATCATTATTTTAATGGCAAAGAGATATCTATCAACTTCCAGCACCAATGATGGTCACAAATTCTTACTTCGGGCATCAACATAAAAAACAAACATGAGCAACTAATGGCTGCAACTGTTATCATTGTGGTCGAGTCAACTCATTTCAACCAGTGGTCAGATACTCTCACATGCCATCAGTTATTAGCAGTCTTGAAACACAAAAATTTGCTGACCAACTCCTTTGATTACCGACAAAGGCATTGATTGACAAGAACAAGCGGGTTATTTATATAAGGGAAACAACTCCATTATTTGTATCAACAAGTTCAGACCAATCTTATCAAATAACTCTTTAGATGATGAGTTATTCACATCTAAATATTTTATCAGCTGACTGAGCTCAACTTCAGGGCAGTATCAGCCTTCATTCCGAGAGAGTTTACAATGTCATAAAACCTGCATGCAAGAATACCACTAACAGTCTAAAACAACCAGATAACTTGAACTCTAAGATAATCTTGAATTGAGTTTTTGAGAAAATCTAGTTCCATATTTCCCCACCCCCAGCCCAAACTGTTCTCACACCCAGAAAAAATTCTGTACTAACCTCAGCTGATTCTAGATCTTTGTTGTATGACTTTGGTGGAAATCTCATCGCCTGAAAAGAGACAAAATATTTCATAAACAATTTTATAATATAGTCATCAATATAAGTAGCCAGAAGTGGACAGAAGGTACAACTGTTCAAGATTTCACTAATATGCATACCAATTAGACCAAAATTCTACTTAGAAAGATATCACTAATATGCATACCAATTAGACCAAAATTCTACTTAGAAAGATATCACTAATATGCATACCAATTAGACCAAAATTCTACTTAGAAAGATATCACTAATATGCATACCAATTAGACCAAAAGTCTACTTAGAAAGATATCACTAATATGCATACCAATTAGACCAAAAGTCTACTTAGAAAGATATCACTAATATGCCTACCAATTAGACCAAAAGTCTACTTAGAAAGATATCACTAATATGCCTACCAATTAGACCAAAAGTCTACTTAGAAAGATATCACTAATATGCATACCAATTAGACCAAAATTCTACTTAGAAAGATATCACTAATATGCATACCAATTAGACCAAAAGTCTACTTAGAAAGATTTTCAAAATCAAGCATCAACCAAAATATAGATTGTTTTTAACGTACAAAACCTCACCTTAACAGAATGATTGTGTATTCCAAGACAGAAACTGATACGTTGATGGAAGGCAGCCATTGGTTCTCTGGTTCCGTAAATATCACTAGTCTCTTTCGATTGGACGTAACCCTTCTCATGGTCTATTCTCGCTTCTATAACACCATCTCGTATAGCCTGGTAAAACACATAATGTTTATTGTCCGACCGAAAGGTTTATAGAATCACATTTTATCAATATGTTCTCATGAATTGAAATATCAACTTAGAATACTACTCTGAGAGGTTTATATTGAAATAAGTTCACAAGGGACATAACTCATACTAACCTTCGCTACAATGTATTCTGCATCTTCAGGTGAATCTAAACAAAGTTTACTGGCTATATCAACCAATGATATTCTAGAATAGGACAAACTGATCATACGAACACCGGTTTTAATAACATTGTGACGTAATCGTATTATCAATGTATATGTATCTTCTGCTTGGAATTTGGAACCAAATTTAGCTAAAACTTGATTAAATTTTATTAAGTTTCCTCCCCGTACAGCTGAAAAAAACAAAATAAAACCATTCATTACATGGGTTCTTACTGGAAAAGAACAAGACAATTCAATAGATTATCCAAACTTCTTTATGCATAGATATACAAGATCTAAAAACTTGTAAACATCCAGTACCCAGTCTTTTGTTACATTGACTTCTATAATTATCATTTATAAGATGCCCAGGGTTTTCTTCATGGAGGGCTATCTTACCTTGGGTGAGTTGGAAATAAGGGGCTAATGTTTTCTTCATGGAGGGCTGTCTTACCTTGGGTGAGTTGGAAATAAGGGGCTAGTGTTTTCTTCATGGAGGGCTGTCTTACCTTGGGTGAGTTGGAAATAAGGGGCTAGTGTTTTCTTCATGGAGGGCTGTCTTACCTTGGGTGAGTTGGAAATAAGGGGCTAGTGTTTTCTTCATGGAGGGCTGTCTTACCTTGGGTGAGTTGGAAATAAGGGGGTAGTGTTTTCTTCATGGAGGGCTGTCTTACCTTGGGTGAGTTGGAAATAAGGGGCTAGTGTTTTCTTCATGGAGGGCTGTCTTACCTTGGGTGAGTTGAAAATAAGGGGCTAGTGTTTTCTTCATGGAGGGCTATCTTACCTTGGGTGAGTTGAAAATAAGGGGCTAGTGTTTTCTTCATGGAGGGCTGTCTTACCTTGGGTGAGTTGGAAATAAGGGGCTAGTGTTTTCTTCATGGAGGGCTGTCTAAACGTTAGTCTATCTGGGATATCACCTAACAATAATTCTACTACTATAGCTAGTCTCTGCACCTACAATGTATAAATATCAAATTTGAACAAACACCATCCCTGTGACAATTTCAAACTAAGAGTAACGAATTATCATCACAAATCATAAAGTGGCAATATTCTGACTTTTAATTTATATCCTAAATCTTCGTCATAAAAAACCACAACCTTTTAATAATTAATAGATAGACCGTGGTTCGCTATATCCAAATAGCCTTGTCACATTCTATGAAGTTAACCAAGAAAAACAATGTGTTTGTTTTTATTCAAGAAAGGTTGCCAGTATTCTTATATTTTCTACAAGTGTTCATTATGAAAGTCAAAACATAAATATTGCAATCATACAAACATCTTGGTTGGGAAGTTTGAAAATCACATCAAATTGTGAATAGTTATTAAATCGCTCTATAATCTACTTACTGTTTGTTTAAAGCCAACAGCACTATGTTGAGGAGCTTTACGTAATGCCTGTACTAAATGTTTATGGGCTTCCGTATAATCTAACTGAGCTGCTTTAATACGACCTGAAATTTAATCATCATGATGAACTTTAATCCATGCGGTGTGCAATGAAGAGAAATTTTGACAGAATAGCTACCTGATCCTACTACCTGTCCATCTACATCTAGAGGCATTTCCTGTAGAACACCTGGCCTCTGTTTACAGTCCTATTGGAACAATGCAAGGTGTTTTCCATGTCATTACTCTGACCTGTATTACTGAGGGAAGCCAGAGACAACACAGATACTGTGGTTTCACTCAAAGCATGACAATCTTCAGTCACAAAATCCACCTTAACATCTTTCATTTTCATTGATAAAATAAATTGTGTTGAAAACCCAATTAGCTACAATACTTTCAAGAAACTTGCCATTGTATGTAGATAGGAATAATGTACCAAAGATCAACATGCATCTATATAATTAGATGAGAGTATAAAAAGTTAAGATTCTTACCTAAATAGTAAAGATATCGTGCCCATTCGTTATTAGAGGAGGATTCTGGGAAACATGATTTAGTGACGAGTTTATCAGCCTGTTCGTAAAGATTATAATGTAAATAATTTCTCAGTAAAAGATTTATTAACGTAGCTTGTCCTTCAAAATCACTGCGTAATGTAGCTGTTCTCAATCGGGCATGTAAAAATCTGGAAATATACAAAATGAAGATATAAAATAATGGTAATATTAATTATTATTTAACATTAAATAGGAATAATTATCCATATCTAGAGACTAAATCTACTTTATGTTAGTTGACAGGAGTTTAATCTAGACAATAATCCAGCTAGCAACTGAGTTATTCCACTTCCACCCACCGTAAGATATTTACACATATCAAAAGTTGTTAACCCCTTCAAGTAGATATTCATATAGCCAGGGATGGACTGTTAAAAATATCAAATTGGACCAGGATAACCATAATTCACTGTGAGATAAGGGTTGAGTTATAGAGTTATTCCAGGGAGTTATAATTAATATATAAATTCATCCTACCCTCTGATGACCTCTAGGTTGTTGGTCAGTTCATAAACACGAGAATGATAGTAATAACATTTAGCAGCTAACATATCTAAACTTCTACGATTGATTAATCCTATTTTATTCACTAACTGTTCCGAACATTTTAATGCCTGCAAAAATAAAATAGGGATGTGTAGAATCAAGGAAATGCTGCTTTCACAGGGAAAGTTATCTCCACCTCTACAAGTGTGAAGAAGAAATGGGAAATTGTATCCAACTTTTAGCATACTTTTTGTATCTATAAAAATCATCCTATTCAATGGATAATTACATACATTTTGCCAACAGACTCGCATTGGTCTATGCAATTCACTTTTTCATGGATTCCAAATGGCAAAGATGAAATATTTTAATGAAATAGACATTTGACACTGTACATATACACTCTGTCATCTAGGGATTTAGACCAACTATTGTTTCCAAAACAGGCTATAAATCTATCCAAGTGTCTTACCTCTTTATATTTTTTCTGGTCTATGAGATATATAACTACTAGAAGATTGAAATAGATATCTAATTCTGGAACTAGAGGCAGGGTAGCAGCTTTTCCTGATCTCGGTCGAAATGGTACACCAATACCATTTACTGTTGCTGGCTGTAAAATAAAGAGGACATTCCATGACTTACAGGTCCTATTTTTTTTTTATCAGACTGCATTGAAGTTTAAAGTTAAAAACTGACAGATCAATCAGGTAGCTCTTTAGTAAAACACTATTAAATAGCAGTGAATGTTAATGATATATAGGTTATAATATTAGACTATCATTAGATTTTAACTATTGTCTCTATTCATGAAATTTAATTAAGAATATGTAAGCCCTGTAATATACTTGTGTTTATCAACAAATTAGTAAAAATCCATAAATACTGAACTGCCATTATTCTGGACGTACCTCTATCAAGAAAGGTGTGAGATCTTCTTTCTGTTGTGAAGAGGCTGTATAATACCCATGAATTAATTTACGAAGAATATTTGACGATAATTTTCTACGAATAGACACCAACCCACGGATAACTCTAGACATAAATCTTGGTTCTTTTGTTGCAACTGCTTTTTCAATATGACGTACATGTTCTTTAATATCTGTAAATAAAGAATACAATTTAGAAAAATTACATACCGGTACTGGTAACAAAATAAGCTTATGCAATGTTTGCAATGTCAGCTTCAAGTCATTTATGATTGAATGTGAACCACCTCTGACCCGATGTCAGCTTAAAATCTATTATCTATCACTTCATTTCACAAAGTAATTGACCAATTCCCCAGCCTTCAATTTCTATAATAGGCTATAATAGTCTGACTACAAAAATATGAGGCCTACATTGATTTCCCCACATCTTATTTCAATTTCCTCACCAGTGGCAAGGAGAGGCTTTCACCTCCTATAAACTAATTAGGAAGCTGTTAATCTTGGATTAGCTTAATTCAATTTTGTGAAATGTGTAAGTAATGTTTACATTACTGTAGACCTAATGGCTAATTAGGATTTGTTAGATTAGACTGACATAGAGCCATTGGTCTTTGATTGCGTTTATTTTGTTGATTACTGACACTTTCATTTTTCTTTAAATACGATTTAGTAGGTAGATATATCCGTAAGAAATACCTCACAGTCAAACTAGAGACAAAAAATACCTTCTAAAGTCAACAAATCTGGATCTTTTTTGGTTTCTTCTTTCGTTTCTTGATCATCCCCACCCGACGCAGGACTCGAAACATCCTTCATTTCCACATCTGTACTCGTATTTTTCACCATTTTGGAAAACAAAAAGTCTCTTTAGTTTGATCTGACAAGTTTTACACAATTCGATTCTTTTGTTTATGAGATAAATTTCAATTATTTTCAACAAAGACAACCCTATTTCATCGCGGCATGATCTGCAAAATTTCAATAAAATGGTGGATGTAGTCTCGGACCGGAAATTGATAGCAGACGTCACAAAAAAATAATTGTGCATGAGTTTTTCTGAAACTTATGACAGATCATTCCAAAACTCAAAAAATGATATGTAATGCCTAAATTTTTTTTTTTTTTGAAAATGATGTTTTATTTTGTCCAATAAAAATCGAAAAAATAGTCTTGCAGGAAAAACCTTTCTAAAGGGAGGTAATTTGTAAACATTGAAAACACTTTTTGGATATTCCAGTTTCTTCTCTTTGCTTTGAGTGAAATATTTATTTAAGGTTAGTCCTCTAAATTTGTCACGTTGATTGACTTGAGAATATATCAAAATAAGATACTTTGAAGAGACCAAAAATTGTATTTTGACAGGCTCTCTTTGTAAAAATGTAAAATTTTGGTGTCTGTGTTTTGCCAACTTGTTTTGTTACAATGAATGTGTATAGTCTAGAAGACAAGAAGCATTGAATCTATGCATCGAACTCACTTATCCTCTTTTTAAATATGAGGTTAAGGAAACAGGGTACCAAAATTAGACTGATGTTTTAGTTTAGGGAACACCAGTAGGCCTGTTCAGTATCGCTTTTAGTTCTCTGTATAGAACACAATAGATTTGTCTTCGCTTCTCAGTTTTTTTTTTGCCTATTGATATGACATGACATTTTGTGTAGAAAGCAATAATGGCTGATGATGCCACTGTCTTTACTGGCTCTGAAACTTACTCATATCATAATATTTTGATCATTTCCTTAAACTTTTTCTTTTTGTTTTACATCATACATGTCTAATTATTTTCAGTCTCCTTTTTCAGGTATATTAATCAACACAATTGACAGAAATAGAAATGGTATCAACTTGATGGTAAAAATCAAAATTTATTTGAAAATTCAAATTTGAATTGACCACAAATAGAATCCTATCATGTCCCGTAAAAATAAAGTCGCTTTCATTCAGAATGAAGAACCAGCTTTCATCAAACAGTTTAAGGAGAGGATTGGTTACAAGGAAGGACCGAATGTGAACACGAAACGAGACGAAGTTGAGTATGACGACAGTGACGATGAAGGGAGGGAAAAAGAGGAGGAGAAGCCGACGGTCGTTGTTTTAAAACCGGGAGATATTTCTCAAGAAGAGGCTGACAAAATCATGAAAGAAGCCGAAGAGCCAGCTCATAAAATCGGTGAAAAAATAACGTTTAAAAAACCTGTGAAACGAACGAATGACTCAGAAGAAAATGGAGAGGAGCAGAAGAAAGATGGAGCAAAAGTTGCAAAAAAAGACAATAAAAGTGATAAGAAGAAATCGAAAGAGAAAGAGAAAAAGAAACAGAAAACAAATTTATTGTCATTTGATGATGAGGAAGAGGAAGATGGATAGAATTTGGAATTTTGGAAGATACAGACTAAAAACTTTTGTGCCAGGGTTTTGAAGGCTGGAAATAGAATAGACTTGACACCTCTTAACCTTGTATTGAATTCATCCACACATGCATTAGTTAAATCAGTACAATATTGAACTTGGAAAAGTTCACTATTGAAATCAGGGATGTGTTGAATTGAAATATTTTAAAGATACTTACTTGCAAATGTTATAAAGATATCAAAGCTGGATGAAGTGATGGGTTAAGTGTATTTGTTGTGTTTATGTATGAACTGAACCAAGATGACCACATATAACCTTGCATGTTTCTTCAATAGTGATTTGTTCAGAGGGGTTTTTATTGTGACAAAAATCTTGTTCAAAGGCTGAGGTGAAAACTTATTTTTCTACAATCAAGGTGTAAAAATGTAAGTGAACCTATCTGGAATATTTGTAAGGCAGCTTCATATAATAAATTTTCATTATTCCAATTGTTAAATTGAATTGAACCCTGGACTTTCATGTTTGTGAGCAAGCCCCAACAGCTCCCCGAAATCCCCCGAGACATTTGCACTTTTCTTTGGAGACATTTGATGTCACAGGCTAGGAAAAAAAACTGTGGAACTACCTAGTGATTTTTATGTACATTTTCCTTCCATGGACATCCTGATATGATTTGGGAACCATCGACCTAAAGTGACAGAAAAAACTCTACTGAGTGTAACAATAACAATTTAATATGATAATATCTAAAATAAAACAAAATATTATATAAAGTTTATATGGTAGACAAGAGGAAATATTATTTTATATTGAAAAAAACAAAGTGGTTATTACAACAAAGTTCTATTTAACATAAATTGAAAGCTCGAGTTTCAGAAATCAAATTACAGATGTTTTATGGTAGACATGATGAAATATTATTATATTATACTGAAAAAACCAACCGAAATTGCATCCATTGATAAATTCTAGTCGTCATGCATTAAGCAAGTAGAATAAACAAAATTTCAAATTATTACTGGAATATGGTGAAGCGTGGACATTAGTGTAAATAATAAACACTAGGTGAAGGGGACAACCAGGGGAGCCACATTTCTGTCACAATGAAATTGATAAAGAAATTTGGGGTGGGAGCAAAGCCAAAGCTTTTTTGAGGGGAGGGGGGGGGGGGGTTAAAACTTCACAGAGTTCGGAAACAAAGTGCTGAGTAACATTTTAAAACAGAACATTCACCACACAACTCACAGCCCAATTACTTACAATTCTATTGGCAAATAATACTTGACAAATAATACAAATTTCTTAAAACTTAACTCAAGAACGTGTAAAAAGGGGAATATTCTTGCATGTATAAAAACTAAACTACTAGTTGTATTATAAATATTGAAAGCTCTAGGTAACATCAGTGACTGCATTTCTCAAAATATCTTACGATTGTCTGATTTTTTCTCAATGTAAACTTACCCATTTATTACAACAAATTTCTATTTCTATATACATTGAAAGCTCAAGGTAACATCAGGGGACCCATTTTTTTAAAAATCTGACGATCAATTTTGTCAAGGTTCAAAATTTTACACTGTAAAATTTCACTCTTTTGACAAATATTAATAAGATTTTTAGAGAAATAGGCGCCAGATCTGGTCTTTTGAGGAATTTTTGAGTTGACTGCAAGAATAGTACAATATTTGATTATGATAGACAGCTAGCAATTCAGTTAGCTGGTGTAATGCTGAAAGATGGCTTATTCATGGTCACTAGTCTCCCAAAAGCAATGGGTTCGAATCCTCCTCAAGATAAGAAAAATTCTGATACCACAGCCAGCGCTGTTGAGAGTCAGCCTCAATTACCGGTAATTGTTCTATAATTGTAGTCACATTTTACTGGTCTCAAAAATGTTCACACAAATAAACCATATAATATTTTGCTGAGTTTTTCCAGTCTTTTCACTAGGAGTCTTGACTATATTGCGAATAAAATCTAAATTAAATCAAACATCAGATGAAAAATGTGGTCGTGCTTCAATCTGGGTATTCGTGACTACTGGATACTCTTGATCATTTTGTCTTTGTATTGCAGCTTCATAGCTACTAATATCCAGTCCTAAACATACCATTATTTTCATCTATAATAAAAAAAAAGTTGGAATATTTTTCATAATTCAGAATACGTGTACAGTAAACTCTGCGTAATCCAACATACACTGGGACCACAAAACAATGTCAGATTAACCAGAGTGTCGGGGTACTCAAAGTTTCGACATTGTTCAACATGTGCCTCGTGTTACTATTTATAGCTCAGTGACCCACATTCTATAGACGGTACCTATCTAATAAAAGACAATTCAGTTGTATACGTTACTATTATTTAATTGTTTATATTTTGAACTACTGTACATACGCTTTTTATTGGAATTAATGTATGTTCATGTTCTCAACAGCCTTCTGTTTGCTCATTTATTTGACTAGCATGTGGATCTATAGATCTATAAGTGCCAGTGTATATTTTGAAACAACTGCTATTTTGTGGCCAAAATATTCACAAGCAATATATTAATATTAATATATATTGTTACCTGGAATTTAGTAAATAACATCACACCTAGTGCCTGAAATAATAATACAAATAAATAATATTTTATATAAAATGTTCACCAGGGCTAAAATATGCTAGTAAACCTGCAGTAGTCAATGGTCATATACATTTGTAGTAGTAAATCTTATGCCATCTTTCAGTCAGCGTTCATTTACGCTGTTTCACTGTATGCCAATCAAATAAAATCCTTTTGTGATCAAATTCTTCCTAGGATTAGCCAAATTTAAAAATCAACACAATAATCTGTGAATCAAATCAAATTGTATATTTTTCAAGAGAAATTTCTGCCAAATCTAGAAACAAAAGGCAACTCTGGGTATTCTCTGTAAAATAGCGGAACCTTTTGGTCTAGAAATAGTTGAATCCTTGGTTTCTCTTTTACAATATTATATTGGTGTCTCCACTTTTAAAAAAATTCTTTATATATGGAAAAATAAGCATCTACAGTAGAGATCAAACTGTCTATGAATAAAAAGATCAATGTTATCCTGTCAAATGAAGAATCAGAAACGCGTTATGAAGAAGTAGACATTATATATCACAAACACAAGACAATAATAAAAGATATTATATACTTACTAGATATAGAATAAATATTAAATAAACAACAATTACTATAGACGATATCAGATACACATACCATTTCATATTTCCAACCTGAAATATACAAATAACATAAATATGATGTTTTAGACTTTTTAATCTCTTGGTAAATCATGATAGATGTAACAAAATATAATTCATTCAAGCTCATCTGATTCTGTCAATGCATGTTTCAGATATACAGTCCTCATCAGGACAGCTTCATTTTTAAATTGCAGGAGGTCAATTTTCAAAAACCGGACTGAAGTGTGAGGAAAATAAATGAACTCCCTGATATAGAGCTGGAAGTTGACATTACAGAATACAGTTTAAAAACTCTCAACTCACACTGCCTTATGTTTCAGAGAACACTATGCGAACTCTACATGAACTCTATGTGAACTCTACGCAAACTCTATGTGAACTCCAAGCGAACTCACTGAAAGACTTACCAGAAATAAGGAAACAAGATAAAAATTAATTCCCATGACAACTGCACCTAACAACCATACACAAAGTTTTAAAATTCTGAAAAATTACAAACAGGAAGTCAGTTAATATCTAAGGGATTGTAAATATTTTGTTCACAATTTATTTATAAGGAAATTGAATCGATTTGCATCGTTCCGACTTTCAGTCAGACGTCTGTGGGTTTTCAAAAATTGTTTGATTTTTTTTTTGTGGGTAACTTGACTCCATTTGCATCCATGACATAATCATAAAAAACATGATCGATTTCACCAATCAAACTCTGACAATACATACCTTCCATTTTCAAAATCCCCCATAATTCTATGGTTACTGGTGAAATGCAGTATGGGTAATAAAGCAAACGGAAGTTGAACACTTTGTAAGACGTTTAACCAACTACTCATATCATCAAGGTGATCTGTGGCTGCTGTGGCAACTACTATGGTCGGTAATATTGCTATAGTTCGAGTTAATAATACACGCTTCCATTTCGCCCATTTTATATTCAAAAAACCCTGAAATATCAAACAATATGATTCAGGATTGCCACCCTTCTGTCTCTCTTGTGTAGCCTATATTTTGTTGGCAAGTAGCCTTTTTCATATTGATCCAAATATATTTTAAAATGGCAGATACTAAAATTACTGAAATAAATTGACTTAACTATGAGAAAATAAAGCTTGTTCTTGACAATCCGGCAAACCTCTCACCTGCATGACAAACTGACCAGCATACGTTCCTGTCATAGTTGAACTTTGACCTGCAGCTAGAATACCAATACCCCAAATAATCTTCATGCCAAAGCCGTATTTATCATAAATCCAATCACCCTATAGATATATTACATTCTGATTATTTATTTTATGTGAAATACTTGGAATTGTTGGCACACATTCGTATTAAAATTATTTCACCCTAAATATATCTATATCATTTTTTATCTACATATATCTGGCTTCTTCATTCTCCAATATTTAGTCAAAACCAAGATGAGTTAGCAGAAACATATCTAAACCTCTATTATGTGTTTTGTTTTGATAATATTGTTAGTTTTACTTTCTTTTTGTAATTGTTTTTAGTTTTACTTCTCAAATAAAATAGAAACATATCACATTTCAACGATATCCTCCCTAATAAAAATATAAACTTACTGCATTCCGTAGACTGGCGTCATCTGCATCTGATTTGTCAGAAAAAGCAGCAGCGAATGTGGCCACCACAAACAGGTTGATCAGAAACGATAGAAATAAAGCAATTGCTGAAATAGATTGAAAAAAATTATTAATCGCTGTCTATCAGAGCGTCCTTGGCTACAACAAACAAATGGAGGGCGTGGGTTCTAAGCCCGGTCGGCATGAAAAAGTCTGATGACCTTGAATATATAGCGTGGTTCCTCATGATTCCAGTCAATCCAACTGTTAATTTGTATGAAAACCCAGAAAAATCAATACCAAGGACCAATGCTTAACAGTTTGCTTACTTTACTAAAGTCCAATTTTCCAAAACTAGTTGTCCTGATGAAAATTATGAATCTGAAACGTGTCAAACAAACTGGATAACAATTCAAAGGTAAACCGTACCTGATTCTATAGAGTAGTACAAATTAGCCTCCTTGATATACTTCTTATCACTTCTGTCAATTTCACGAGACTGTAAATACAGGACAAACTTTATAAATAGTTGACACAGATTTATATGAACAAAAAATTCAAATAAAAGTTTAAACCATCCTCTGCTCAACATGTCTATTTCTTACCGTGTTTTATTTCCGTGAGTAAATATTGTTCCAGGGACTGAGAAAATAACTGTCACCTGCACGAAGCCATTTTACGTTTTGTTTTGTAAATGTGTACACATGCTAAAAATAAATATAATATCAGTAATGAAAGGTATAGAAAGAACATACCAGTACTAAAGCACTATGTAAATAGATATTATGCGGCATGATAACAGCGCCTACAATTCCAACCATTTGTTGAATAGCTTCTTTATTACAATCTGAACACCATGGAAACCATAAACCAATTAAAATATCACCTTGGTTTGGTTTAACCGTTATATACTGAAAATAATAAGTAGAACATGTTGATTTTTGATAGAAGACTGAAGATTAAAAGCACCGGCCAAAAGATCAAAATTTATTCTGCCAGATTTTTTAACTGTGACAATATGACAATTGATTCCACAGTGTAAAACTTTGAGCAATAACATGTTTCAGGTTCTGCTTATATATACCTATAGTACTATTTGCTAACTTCAATAGAGACACTGAATATGTCTGAAGATCGTACATCGTGAAACTCTGAGTAACAACATGATTCAGGTTCTGTTTTAGTTCTCTGAAGATCACACAATGTGGAACTCTGAATAACAACATGTTTCAGATTCTGTTTTAGTTGTCTGAAGATCACACATCGTGAAACTCTGAGTAACAACATGTTTCAGGTTCTGTTTTAGTTCTCTGTAGATCACACAACGTGAAACTCTGAGTAACAACATGTTTCAGGTTCTGTTTTAGTTGTGTGAAGATCTGTGTAACAACATGTTTCAGGTTCTGTTTTAGTTCTCTGTAGATCACACAACGTGAAACTCTGAGTAACAACATGTTTCAGGTTCTGTTTTAGTTGTGTGAAGATCTGTGTAACAACATGTTTCAGGTTCTGTTTTAATATTTCTAATTGAATGAACATAATAAAACACTAGTTAAATATGATAATAAAATCAACTCACCATATAGAGGAATGTAGCAGCCATGGTAGTTATCAAGGCTCCGAATAAAGCCTCTAACTTTCGTAACCCAGCTGATTCTAAAAATAGAAAGGTGAAGGTGTCCACGCCAGTGATCAGAACTCCAGCCCAGATCGGAACTCTGAAATAAATATCAGGAATACAAACTTAAAAACAAGGCAGAGAGAGAATCTGAAAATTCTTGCAGAAACAAACCACTAGCAGACTGTTTTCAGTATTGTCATGGATTCTTTAACCTGTAGTCTATAACACACAGGGCCTCTGTTTATTGTCTCATCTAAATGACTTGATACTCTTTCCATGTTCACCTCTATGACCTTCATCACTGACATTGTAAAACTCTATGACCAATGCTTGAACCCATTGCTGATTCACTTCAGCACCTGTCAAATCGTCTGTCCTGTGTATATCCAGGATATATATAATATTTAGATCCAAATAAACCTTTTTCCATGCTGATTACGACCAACAGAATGATGTGAAATAAACTATTAGAAATACTCACGTTTTATTGGATAATAAATTAATAGCAATGGCGGAACCAATCACTTCCTGTATGTCACTTCCTATGATCGCGATCTCCACCATAATCCATAGAATAATACGCGGAACCCTGGGATACTCGACTCTACAAACTTCACCCAGGTTCATTCCTACAATCAATAAAATTCAGATTTTAAAATATGCTGTAATCTGATATGGTAATTAGACACAATTTATATTCCTGAATCAGATAATAATTTTTGAGACGCTGTTCACTTGCCACCTTTTATACATGGGTAAAAATTAAAAAGGATTATATGATTCAAACAAGTGGTTGCCATACAAGATACGCCCAATTTCCTGATAAATTTTCAGTATATCAAGGGAGGTCATCAATGTGTGTCAAATCATACTAAAAATCTAACATGTGGATATAAACCTACACACCAAATTTCATTCAAATCTGACATAAACTGTTGTCTCTGTCATGTTCACAAACCACTTTTTAATATCAGTTAATCAAGGAGCCGAAAGCTGACAAAATCAACAAGGTAGACACGAAATAAGATTATTAGCTACTGTACTATCCCAGCATGGAGGAAGAATAATAGATAACCTACCAGTAACACAGCCAAGACGAGCAGCGAGAAGTTGTAAAACTAACCCCATAACAGTAGACCACATTAATACCCATAATAACTAGAAAATAACAACGATATAAGTTACATTACATATCTAAATAGAACAACACTGAAGTGTAAGCAGTCTCTTCCTCTACTTAAAAATGTCTACCTTGTTTCACTTCAAAAATAAAAATGAAATGAATGGAGTTTTACGTCCTACTTTTCTGCACCATGTGGGCTAATGAAGACGGGCAACGCAATGCAGGGTGCAATGAGTGAAATTTTGCCAGGACAGCGGCATTAGCCTGCTATTTTTCGATTTCCAACTGTCGAGGGATCTTTAACGTGCACAGCCTGTAGCACACTGAGTTCATAAATATTCAAGGATGTCACATGATTTTATAACAAGCCAATCAACACACTTCTGCATATTCTCTTATAAGTTCTGCAAGTATGCCAAGCTTGTTACACCTGCGACAGTAACCAACATGTTACATAGAACTTATTTCTTTATACGTGTAATGATTGCTTGTGTCAATAAAACAACAAAATGATGTAGAAGATAAGATGAAATAACCTACCTTATAGTTAGCAATGGCTCCTGATTGTAGATCTGATTCAATATTCCCAGGGTCGAGATACGCGATGCTCATCAGAAACCCTGGACCAGTGAACGCCCATAATTTCTTAAAACTAAATCCTGACTGAAAATACAAGATAGAATAAAAATATATCTGTAATTATCAATATTATATCTATTATGGAATGATGTCATCGTTGCTATAACTGACTGAGATAATATCAATGACTACATGGTAGAGTATATTTCTGGTTCATTGTATGCTCTTTTCAACATTCTCTATCTAAGGTATGCAAGCCAAATCATATCTAAATATTGGGGTGAAAACTAATTCTGCTTTTAGACAGTTTCCTGTATATCAAAACAAACAAACAATGTGGAATCTATCTCAATCACAAGCTCAATTGTGATTGGACAGACGAACAAAGAATTCATTTTAAAAATTTCAAAATACAGAAAAACAATTAACTGAGTATATGAATAGAAATTTAAAACTCACCGAGTCTGAATAATCTACAGGTACCTGCCCAGGTGTAATCTCAAAACCTCGTTGTATTTTCTTTAATGTTTCTGGACTTTCTTCTTCTGTTACACTGTTAGGTGTTTCCCCGGCTAATAGTGGTGTTTTTTCTAACGCCGACATCTCAGGTTTTCAACAACTAGCTAGCCTCAGAATTATTTACAGAAAAATAAGGTATTTTCTTAATCAGATCATTTTCTGCAATAATAACAGAAAATTCACAAAATAATTAAAAATATTACTAATCACCCACACGGCAGATAATTGAGAGAAATCTTGATTAATATGCAGGTGTTTCAAAATCTAAAAACTCAATATGATTATACACCAATGTATACCATAACAACTAGGCCAACAAGAATCATGTCTTCTAGTTGCACCTTATTCAAACCTGTAGGCAACTGATTGGATAACAACTAAGGTTCTCAGGGATCCTGTCTACCAGCTGGTCCTTTGTCAAATCTCTTGAAAATGATTTTACAAGGTTACAAATAACTTTGGTTCTCAAGGATCCTGTCTACCAGCTGGTTATTGGTCAAACACCAATGGCAATGATTTTACATGGATAACAACTTAGATTCTTTAAACCTGTCTACTAGCTGGTCCTTGGTCAACTCTCTTGGTAATGATTTTACGAGGTTGATAGCTTTGGTTCTCAAGGATCCTGTCTACCAGAAGGTTCCTGGTTATACCTCTTGACAATCACTGAGCTTTTAGAAACTTAGGTTCAAGAGGTTTTTCTTAGCCAAACCTCTTGGTATTGATCTTTCCAGATAATTCATAGCAAATAACAATTTAATTATGCAAAATTTACAATAATTCATTACATCAACCCCGTCCTTTATAATTATCTGTCACGTACAAAGGTTACAAATATCACGTTCCATATCTTTATCATAACGCATTTATATCAGATAATGATAGCATTATATCATTGCTGATTAGATAATAATAAATATTTACTCTACTTTTATTTTATTTCATTTCCAAACACAGAGAGATAGCCTAGACTTGAAGATCATCTTCACAACATCTAGACGCAATTCCTAATAACTTGACATTGTGAAGAGGAGTGAAGATCTTGGTGGGGTGGGGTGTTGAGGGTCACGTGTTGAGTGTTGGCCCAACACTTTTGGGGTTTAGGGTTGGAGTGAAAAATTCTGTCAAATGAAAGGAGGAGATAGTAATGGAACTAGGTTAAATATAGGGCGACAGGAGGGGGTGTCCGTAACTTACAGCTCACATAACAGAAAAGGGGGAGGGGAGAGTGGTATCTGAAAGAGAGAGTGAAATTTTAGAATTTTATATGGGTACAGATATTTCTTGATGACTGGAAAAAAGTTGCCACCCCCTCTCCTCTCAAGATATATTTTGTTATCTTTATAGTTATATGACTTGTTTATTTTTAGCTACAATTTTTAACCTTATCACAATATGTTCAATAACCTATATACACTGACAGTCACCTGATTTCTGTTGTAAAGAAATTTCTAAAATCGTGAAGACCTAATGTGATAAAGCAATTTTTGCGATAAGTGACGTCATCAAACATTTAGATTTAGTGGAATTGAAGGAATATCTGATTAAATTGATGCTATCAGTGTCCCTGATACAGATAAAGATTTAGAAAACTTTAATTGCTGTTGTACACCTAAAATATAATTTTCAATAAAAAGTTTCAGTAAGTTTTACAAGTCCTAATTTAGTTCATCATCTAAAAAACAATACGTAGAAGTCAAAATTATAATTCACTATAGATGAATTACTGTCTTTTTAGGATTTCGAGAAGTATCTTACCTTCATATTATGATATTAAATTACATCCATATTGCTCAAAATATTTCAAACATCTTTTAACAAGTGTTAAGTCATGATCAAGTGTAGATGTGTCACAGTCAAAACAGGATCTTCACACTTGAGTTCAGAGTTCACTTGCTACTGGTTATATAATCTATTGTCTTGAAGTATCTAGAAATATTAAAACAGAACCTGAAACATGTTGATTCTCGACTTTTTACTTTCAAATGTGTTTAATTCTGGATACACATGAATTTGAAGACTCAAATTTCAATGGTGAGCTGTGAACACTATTACTGATTAGCTTAGCTGAAAAATGTCCATTTCTGAGACTAAGGCATGATGGGTCAAAAAAATGGCGTATGTATACCTAATCTATACAATGCAGACAATTTAGATTCTCTGAAAGAAATGGCCAGTCACAGACGGCAAATAGGTACCGTATCCCATAAAAGTGGGCATGCCCTGCCTTACCGGTGATACCCTCAATATTTATCATAGAACTTTATCATTCTTATTAAACCATGTATCCAGCCATAAACAAATATTGTAATAAGCCAGTCAACTGCGAATTCAAATAATTAATGCATCAGCCATTAACCTAATTACTGTACAGTACAGTCATACTATCAAACCTTACTTCATGACCTTTTTAGAATAGTATTCTCATCTCACTCTAGTCCTATAAGAGATGCTCAGTAAATACCCCCAAAGATATTTTCTGGAAGATTTATTTATGATTTTGTCTTTGGTCAAACTTCTTGACAATGTTTTTCGTTTTTTTGGAAACAACAGCTTCAGTTTTTCAAAGAGAAAAAAAATGAAATGAAATGAATAGAGTTTTCAGACAGATAATGCCATGCATTGTGCAATGAGGGAAATTTTGCCAGGACAGCACATTAGTCTACTCTTTTTCGATTTCAAACTGTCAATGAATCTATAAGTGCAATTCTTTGTTTTATAGCCCTAACTCCTTATTTGTGACCTTGGCCAGTGCTTTATGTGCAAACTTTTTCACTCCTTCTACAGCCTGTAGCACACGGGGCCTCGGTTTATTGTCCCATCCGAAGTCTTTCCATGTCAATCCCTCCAAACTGCATCACTGACAAGGAGGAGGTGGGTTGAAAACTCCAAAGGTTTCATTTTATTTTTCAAGGATAACAACTTATGTTCTCGAGGATCCAATCCTTTACGCTCGGAAAACAATAAAGACTTCAGCATCACCTGTTTCTTCTATGACCAACCAATACCCCTTGCATGGTAGAACTTGCCTATCTTCTTTAGTTCTTCTGAAGGATCCTTTTCAGTTTTCTATCTAATAAATATTGTCCCGTCTCAGACAGTTTTCTCAATGGACCTATTATAAACAACTGAACACAGCTCCAAGTAGACTTTTCCTGTCACACGTCAAATAATTGAACTACATGAACTAGATGTTAGATCTATGGTATGACAAAAGTTCAGAATTTTTTTTGGGGGGGTGTTTGTTTCATTAATCTTAAAAAAAAACGTAAACAAAACTGGATAATCACGACTTTATTGACCTTGAACTTGAACCTTGCTATCGGTGAAGCATTTTTTGGGGTGGAAAATGAGTCTTTAATGATATATTTTCTTCGAATATGAAAAAGAAAGAGTTACGGAAATTTTGCTTTGAGATCATTAATTTTATGGCTCAGCAACAAAAAACGGAATTCCATCGTACTTTAAAAAAAAAAAAGTATTCGGTAGTGTTTGAAACTGTCGGTGGTAAAAAGATAATCTCCGGGGATTTCAACCAATCAGAAGCAGGACGGATATTCCCAGTTACTAAATATAGAATTTCTCGGAAACCATCCATTTCCTAGAATTTGACAATCGAGAATAATAATACGCATTGAAATCTGGTTGATAATTTCCAGAGAAACGGTGAGTAAAACGCCGAATTCTTTTGATTTCGTTTGGTTTTCACTTCCTAGTTGAGTCATTCTGTTGTCAATTGGCGAGGGTCGAAGATCTGCTCGACCCTTTTGACGACTAGACTGCAAATAAAAGTAAAACAAACGGATGTCGCTTCATGAGGATTTTTTATGGACATACTTGTCTTTTGTGTCATTGCTGTATGCATTTGTCCTGAATGTGTCATCTTTATCATTTCTACTTTCAAAAATATTTTGACTCAGTTTTTGTTTGCAATTATTGATACGGACAGAAACAATTGAATGAGCCTAAGTCTAGGATTGCAGCGAGGGCCTGAACTATATGTTGGACCTGCAGAGTAATAAAGATTAAAAATGAGCTCAATCAGCAGGTAAATCATATAATAAGAGTCCCACTGGAGCTTACAGATTGCTGAAATTCGATAAAGTAAATACACATCAATACAGAAAGCTGAAAGTGAGCTCGCTCAGCAGGTAAAGACAACATTTAACAACTTATCCCTTTAATAAGACTGCTAGGCATTTAAGTTTTGAAATAAGTATAAGCTGTGAGTAATCTATTGTTGATATTTTGAGCTTTGTGTTGCAAAATATAAATCGGTCACTAAATGGCCGACTAGATCAAGGTGACATTATTAGGTTTTCTTAGAATTGACTATGTTTATTGTAACCTAATTTGATATCAGCTAACTAGAGTGCATGTAATAATCAGTCAATTTCCTAGAATTCTTGAATCTATTTAGAAACTTCATAGAAATTGGTAAGATAATGTTTAGGTGTTGTCACGTACACATGTATATTGCATCAGGGTTCAGTGGATTGTAGACTAATATTCTTATGCAGTCTGCATCTTAATTTGGTTTTGGAAGTGTTAAATATTTATTAAAACTGTTTTGAAGTTAAATGAATTCATTTTAAGCATAAAAAAAAACTTATTTTGAAGTGTAAACTTAGGAGTCTTATGGTGAAATTTTGATAAAATCGTGGATTATGGTGTTGGATACAATAGTCTTGATTCTGCGCTGATTCTTGAGTCATACACGAGACATTTAATTGGACCAATCATTTGCTAGAGTGTTAAACAGCAGTTTTTGGATTCATATATATATCAAAGCATATGGTTGATTCAGCGTAGATCTTTTTTTAGGCCCACATGTTTATTGAATTATTCGATAAATACTGGGATTTAATTTTGGTATCGTACCAGTAGAGCTTATTCTTGTTGGAACACCATACTCAGAATATAATAATAATAAGTAGGATTTCCTAATGTCTGTTTCATTTTCAAAAAGTTGCGTTCTTGTGTCACATGAAGACATGATACATTCTCAGAAAGTTAGTTCATTAGTTTACACATGTTAAATTCAAATAAAAAAGTTAAATTTCCAATCAGATTGTAGGCATTTAACTCAGATATCAACTTGCGTTCTTAGAATTTCGGAAGATATAGACTAGATTTCAGCAGAGATTAACAAATGTGTCCATGATTGACGATTATCACGCAGCTCAGACCTTTAACTCGAACACTTAGACAGGTCCAAAAATCACAAATCGAAAATATTTTCCTGGAAAAACAAACTTGAATTTGTGAATATATAATTTAACCAATGACAAAGCGCTCAGTATCTGGAATGAAGATGGAGGATTCAGTCGAAATTAAGGAAGAGTTTTCAGATGTTTTAAATGATATATCACAGTTTGAAAACTCACACATTCAGAATATTGGGCAGAATGGAGGATATACAGAGAAGGTAGGCATTGTCGTTAAAAACCACGCTCACCTACGAATAAATAGATGGGACTGTGAATCAATGGTTGGCCATTTGCGGGAGTTGATTTGGGGCTTGAATATATGTAAATAGTCTTCAGAAATACTGGAATTGTAAGAAAATAAACTTTAAACTTGAAATTTCACTCTCTGAATCTTTTCTATGTACAGAAATAAAATGAAATGACGAGGCTTAAATTTGGACAGTGAGCTGTGAACTCTATTATTGATTAGCTTAGCTAAATAGCTTTTCCTTAGGAAGTGAATTTTAGGGATGGTTTTTATATATAAAAGGGCGTGGTTGAATATTTTATTCACAAGTTTTTGTGTTTATATTTACAAACAGAAGCTATGTGTACGGGTACGTTCAATGACTTCAGAATGGTGGCCATTGCAGTAGAGATATGAGGTGTGAACTAGGAAGAGAAACATAGAGCATTATCATCAAACCTGGATTCTCTAGTGTGCTGAGACTAAGGGACTACTCAGTTAATACAGAACTAGCCAACATGTGGGCATATATCATCAAATACGTGAAATCTGATTGTTTTTGTTATATATTTTCAGTATGAAGTCAAAATGTCAAAATGGGCTCGAATTCAGCAATCCCAGGTTATTTTTGACCGTATCCAACCTCTTTATATTCATGGGTTACCTATCGAAGTTCGTCATTTCTTCGCTGAATGGATAGAGAGTCAACCATGGTGGGTGTTAACCTTATATTATTATCACTATGCATCGTATCATGACATATGTTGTATCGCAATACATCGATTCACCGATATATATCATGCCAGCACACAACTTTTGGAAAGATGTGTAGATAGCATTATCCAGTTTTATGTTATTATGTAGACTGGATTAAGTTTGTCTTTAAAACATAGCCTTTACTTTGAGATGTGTTTTGGTAAAGGTTCATGGACACTTAGTAAGGTGTGTAGATTAGATTATCCAGTTTTACGTTATAATGTAGACTGGATTATGTTTGTCTTTAAAACAAAGCCTTTACTTTGAGATGTGTTTCGGTAAAGCTTCATGGACTATTAGAAAGGTGTGTAGATTGGATTATCCAGATTAATGTCACTTCATAGACTAGTTAGTCTAAAATGTAGCCTTTATTTTCAGGGCTGAAATTCAGATAGAAGATCCTACCCATCTTGCATATGCCAGTCAACTGTTGGCTCAACTGATTGCCATGATAGAAGAAAAGGCTGCCACAGAGTCAAGCGAACTCTACGTTCGACTGAAACTTCGTGAAATAGCAAATCAATTAAAGGTAGGTTTAAATTGAAGCAGTGGAGACAGGGTTTAGTGTAATTTTGGTTCTATTTGTTAAACTTCATCAACATGGCAGCTAGAAAATCAATGATACGACTCAATCACTGCCTTGCCTGCATCGGAATAGTTTATTGTTTCACACTTTCTTTTAACATGACCAACTACAATGTCAGCTAGGAAGTTCTAACGAATTGGACCGGAGAGTTATCTCCCCTCAATCAACCAAAATGTCAATAATGAAATGTATTTCAGACAGTTTATGAAAGAAATCCGATGGGGTTTGTCCAAGTTGTTAGAAATTGTTTAGAAACAGAAGATCAACTTCTTCAGGAAGCTGAATCAGTAAGTTTAATTAGTGATTTATTGGTGTTTCAGACAGGAGGTATAAAGATTTTTATTTATTCAAGCTGTTTGACCATGAAACCGTTGCAAGTTTATTGAACTAAATATTCTCTATAATACTAGTTTTTATACAATCACATTCGGACCTGGACATATTTTGCCGTCACCCCTGTCTGTGTGTTTGCCTATTCGTCCCTCTACAATTAGCTTGTGAACACGTTAAGGTCAACACAAGTTAGATTTTTAGTATGATTTGGCACAGATTGAAGACTGTCCTTGATATACTGAAAATTTAACAGGGAAGAGGACATATCTTAAACTGCCAGTTTAAAATCCAAGGACTAGGATCAGGTAGAGAGGTCATGTCAAGGGGTCGGTCAAGGGGTCGTGTCAAGGGGTCAGGTAGAGGGTCGTGTCAAGGGGTCCTGTAGAGGGGTCAGGTAGCATCAGACAAATGGTGGTTGTTGGTTCTTAACCTGGTCGGCTTGTGAAAGTCTGGTGACGTTGAATAAATCATCTTTCTTTATTCTAGTCCATCCAGCTGTAAATGGGTATATATAATCTGAGAATGCCACAAGGTTTGGTCAAGGACTAGCTGGCAGAAAAGATCTTCGTAAATCTAAATTGTTACCTTTGTACAATAACTTGTTTTTGATTGATTGTACATATTAATTTATGATATATTTAGAATGGGGCTGCCCCTGTTACTGTACAACTTTCAGAAGAGGAGGAAATTCAAGCTAGAATTAATATTGATATTGAAAGATTGGTTGCTAAAACAGTGGTAGGTGTTTTATATATCACATAGCATGAGATTCTTTTAAAGAGACAGGTTCGTCATTCTTTCAACCTGCTTACCTTACCCTCAGAAACAGGTTTTTTTATTTTAGCTAAGCCAACTGTCTAAATTCATGTGTGTCCAGAATTATCTTCATAAGAAAGTTAAAATAAAGACATGTCATTTCTTGAGAATACTCCATATTTAGAAAAGACATCTATAGAAATATATATATAGAAAGAATATGCAAAAGAATGCAATCACTATAATGGTGTGGTGATCTTTGAACACACATCTAATGATTCTAGTTAAAATAACTGGACAGTCTTTTATCTCTTAGATTATTTTAAACCATGTAACTATGTGTGATGTGTAATTAATTGGAAAGTTTGAAAGGTGGCTGATATTTTCTGTAATATAAATTTGATGAAATTGTGTTGGTGTATTGATCCATAAGATTATTTTTTGTGTTTTAGTCGATAGAAAGCAAAGTTCAAGTCAAAAAACAACAGCAAGAATCTTTTATTATTCGTTACCAGGACAACGTTAAAATTCAAGGTAGGAAAATAAACAAAGTTCTGACGTCTGAACTGCAAAACCTAACTACATATTGGCGAACATTGGTAGCAGCTAATGAGCTTTTTATATGAGGAAGTATGTCAATAATGAGCAAACTATCAGCAAAAGACTTCCTTTAAAGATGGGTTCCCTTATTTTCATTTATTTATAAATATATTATATTATTCGACGGCCGATACTTATATAAATCGAAAGTAGAGGTGCTCTAATGATAGGGAAAATACTAGTTTGTATCAAAAGTCAATAATTAACTTATAATCAGCTATTTACGAAGGGATTCCAAAGATCAAGCGGTCACTTAATAAAGATTATCAGGTCTCACAGTTGATTTAAGACGACTGTATCTTTAATGAAAATTTATTTTATGTCAATATTTGTCAGTATTTGATTTTTATTTTAGAACAAATTCAAGGTGTCGAGGCTCAAATTCAACAGAATCAGTTGAATCATAATCAGGAACTTCAGGATAAAAAACTGGATTTGTTGCAGAAAAAAGAAAAAATTGAAACATATTTAAGAGATAAGGCAGAATTATTGTTGAACTACAGAATTGTAAGTTTCAATTTTTTTCATCTCAATTTTCCTGTCATGGCTTACTCTCTAGCTCGGCATCGCTTCGTAGTTTGTGATTCAAAATGATCCCTTTTCTCATTCAATATTTCCTATGATTAGCCAAAATTAAAATCTATCACAACGATCTGCGTATCAAACAAAATTGTGTTTTTGAGTCTAATCAGTCTGAAGAGTTCAAACACGAACGAAACTAGTCACTGAAAATCAGGGATAACTGGTCTCATAGCCAAACTTTATCTCTTGTATTTTTGAAGGTTTACTACTGGAACTTTTTAAGTTGAAACTCCATTTTTAAGAAAATTAACTTGATTAGCCAACACTAGAAGTTGTTGTGTTAAATTGTTAATAAAATATTTCAATCTAAATTAAACCATGTCCTAATGTGAAGTTATCAAAGTCTAAATCGGTTGTCAAGTATCAAAGTAAGGGATAATCTGGCATCATCGGTAATATTTGAAAAAATAGTTGATTCTTTATCTCTTTAAACCACTGGTGTATTGGTTTTTTGTAGGAATTAGCTGATCTGTTGGTAGATTTGATGACTACATTGGCTGATTTACAGAATCGTGTTTTAGGAGATTTACTGACTGATTGGTTAAGGAAACAGAAACTAGCTGGGAATGGCGCTCCATTTGATAATAATTTATCTAACATTCAAACATGGTAAGATAGAAACAAAGATTGCCATGGTTAGACCTCTTGGTAATGATTTCACCAAGATAACAACCTAAGTTCTCAAGGACCCTGTCTTCCAGCTGGTCGGTGGCCAAACCTTTTGGCATTGATTTTACATGGATAATAACTTAGGTTCTCGAGGATCCTGTCTACCAGCTTGAGATTGCCTTGGTCAGATCTCTTAGTAAAGATAATCACTTAGTTTGTCCTTGGCCAAATCTCTTGGTAATGATTTAATAAGGACAACAAATTATATTCTGAAAGATCTTGCCTACCAGCTGGTTCTTGGTTAAACCTATTAGCTTTGATATTTTCTAGATTAAATTACATTAAATCTGTTGTCATGGACTTGATACAAAATTAAAATACCTCTGAAGGCTAAAGCACAAAATTTGGTGTCAACTGAGAAAAAACTTGTTCATGTTAATATTTTCTTTATAGGTGTGAATCATTAGCAGATATTGCCTGGAGAAATCGACAGCAAATAAAAAAAATTGATTTATTACGCAGACAACTACCAATTAGTTTACCTGAAGGCCAAGAGGATCAACTCCCCTTGTTGATGAAAACAGCCACAGATCTGATCTATAATCTTGTAGCTCAGTAAGTATATATTTATATGGTTTTGGTTTAATCTTAGGTGAACTGTACTTCAGAATGAAATTCTGAAAAGTGTCACAGTTAGATGAAATTGAGTTCTATCAGCTGGTAAAGTAAATATTTATTTTTTATTCCAGCACCTTCATTGTTGATAATCAGCCTGCCCAAGTGATGAAAAAAGACGGAAAGTTTTCGACCAGTATTAAATTATTGGTGGGAGGTAAACTGAATGTCCATATGAATCCACCAGAGGTCAAGGCTGTCATTATCAGGTTAGTGTCACGACCTTCAAGGTCAAGGGTCAGAGGTTAAATCGAATACAGTTATTTATAGATATAGTCAGTGTTACTGGTTAATAGACTCATAATGACAAACTAATATGAATATACTTGCTGACATACTCACTTATGATAGATATACTAGCTGGGACCAATGTATTGCCGAACAGTTTGTTTTGCAGTTAAGATCGTAAGAAATCGCTAGAAAACTCTGATTGGATGATGGTATTGAAGTCTGATATAAACCAATCAGATTTTGTCTATAAATAAATAACCAATAGAAATGTTGTATTTTAAACAGTGAGAGTCAAGCTAGAGAAATAATGAAAAATGGAGCTCAAGTTGATATAAAACCATGTGGAGAAATTTTAAATAATCGTGGAACTATGGAATATCATCAAGCTACTGGACAACTTGGCATTTCTTTTAAAAATATGGTATGTATTTACTAGTAGTCAAATCTGTACAGCAGACTTCTGTTCAAAGCTTATTAAAATAAATTAAAGGAGTACCTTCACTATCCGTTCAACCAATCATACCTTTTTTTAGTTTTAATTATCAGTAACAGTGTTCATTTACTAGTAGTCACAATCTCCTAGATAGCATGCCTAATTAACATTGATATGTAGGGTAGACTTCAGTTCAGGGAGTTTGTTTATGGAATTATGGAATGTTAGTCATTGGACCACTATTCCCTTGCAACATTGTCAAATATTTCAAATTTCCACAAAGGAATATTTTTAATGATAAGAGGAATGATATCTTTATAACAAAAGGCTAAAAAATTAGGCCATATGATATTGATGAGCATCAAGACCTATATCACACTATTGTCTAATTGACTCATTGTGTCTCACAACTACAAATCATGAAAAATGTTGAATTTTTTTTTAGCAACTGAAGAAAATAAAACGAGCTGACAAAAAAGGATCAGACGTAAGTAATTTTATTTTTATTTATTTATTTATTTATTTATTTATTTATTTAATTTATTTATTTATTTATTTATTTATTTATTTATTTATTTATTTATTTATTTATTTATTTATTTATTTATTTATTTATTTATTTATTTATTTATTTAATTTATTTATTTATTTATTTATTTTGTTCATTGTATATTTTAATTATGTATTTTAATTCATTTCATTATTCCAAGTGCATAGTAATAATAAAACTGTGTTATATTTACAGTGTGTTACAGAAGAAAAGTTCTGTATTTATTTTTCCTCCGAGTTCAGTCTAGGTGGTAATGAATTAAGCTGTAAAGTCTCGGTGAGTATTTCCTCCTCCACACCTGATGTCATTCACACGTACTTGTAGACCTCCAAGTGGAGTAAACAACCTTGTTCCCCCCTGTCAATGATGAAGATCAATGATGTGAAAAAAAAAGTTGGAAAGAGCGTTTGAATATTGGCTTGGAATTGGCAATGTCCATTTATCACTGCATTTTTTTAAACCAAAAAGAAAGGTAGATAAGAGCTAGCTGCCAGGCCTTATCTTGTACTGAGAGAAAAATCTGAAATTCCATCTTTGAAACAATGTCATACTTAAATACTTTTCAAATAAAACATTTGTTTCTAATCTTTCAGAGAATGTCGCTGCCTGTTGTCGTGACAGTTCATGGCAATCAGGATCCCAACGCCTGGGCAACAATTTTATGGGACAACGCCTTTTCAGATGTGGTAGGTGCTCACTGCTCGACCGTCAACAAACCTGATACCACTTTGTTACTCTATAAATCTATACTTGATGTCTGACTTGTCAAAAACGGACATTTGAGCTAGTTTGCTCGTCATTCATGGAGAATACACCCAAATCTTCAGTCCTGGTCAATACAATAAATGTTGGGAAACGATGTATCAAAAGAAATTCTACAGTTAGCTCAGCTGTGAAACACAGATTAAAGTGGCTTTATCCTTGAAAACTGCTCAAACAGTTGGAAACGCAAATATTGAGAAAACTTTATTCTTGTGTAGTGTAGATTAAATTTAAATATAAATCTAGTTTCTTCCTTTCCAAGTTCTAATTATTCTAGCAGAATATAAAACAGACTGTTCGTTTGAGATTCAAATCTCATACCTTATTATCTACTTCAGAACCGAGAGCCATTCCACGTACCTGAGTCAGTACCGTGGCCGAAGTTAGCTGAACAGTTGAATGCCAAGTTTGTTCATGATAATGGCCGAGGCCTGACGCCCAATAACCTCCAATACTTGGCCTCAAAGATATTCAGTGAGTAATTATTCAGATATACAAATATATTGCTACATCATGTTTGCTAGCGTGGCTTGAGATGGTTTTTCATGCCAATTTCTACTAGCAATGTTTTTTAAAGATTGAAAATTTTTCAATTGTAAGTGAAGGCCCTAAAATTTCCCTTTTTGCATACTGCATGGTTTTGGCCATATTCATTAGCTCAGCACAGAAAAGTAAGATCATTTCATAACCCAATGTTTATAAAAGAAGGATATAAAACTATTAAGAATTATTTCCTGCATAATTAAACTAAGTGCTGCCGTGAGAGAACAGAGAGTTCTGAACAGGTCTGTTCTTCCTAGCCTCAAATCGAACAGTACGGAATCAGAAATGACATTTAAAAATTTCCAATGATATCTTTCTCTCCCATTTTGAATTCTGTCTGCACCTACTATATTTTGGCACCCATGTTACATGTTTTGAACTCAGCTCCAACTTGTCTGGTTCGATTCCGTGAATCCCAAATGTGCAGAACTTGCCAATCAAGTGACTCTTAAGATGTAAAACTCCAACTAATTTAACTATTTATAGATGAAGGTATTAATGAAGATTTCTCCAATCGTTTGGTATCATGGAGTCAGTTTAATAAAGATCACCTCCCTGGTCGTAACTTTACTTTCTGGATCTGGTTCTACGATATGTTAAAACTCACCAACTTACATCTTGTTAGACAGTGGAGAGAAGGGTAAGGTCAACATTAATAATATAGTTGGGTTAGGGTTTGAAGCTGACAACTGACCATGATTGTCACAGTTAGAGTCAGGCATAAAATGTCTTGTCCAATCCAATCTTTTTATCATATTTAGGAACTGGTAAAGCCAGATTTGTTGAGCAATCATACAAAAATCTCGTCTGGCAAATGACATTCCAAATATTATCTGGCATCATAATTTTTCTAACATTCAGTACCACACCATCTAATTACCTAACAGAAGGCAACTTGTTACAGACTAATCTATTTCACTGTCTACAGTTTTGATAAGATTTATTGAACTATTTGGGTTTTTTTTTCTAGGGTTTGAAAACAGGGGTCTCATATTTATAATGTTACTTTCAATTTCTCTTGTAGACATATCATTGGGTTTATCAGTAAGGCACAGGCACAAGAGAATCTCCTGCAGTCTCAAGTTAACGGAACATTTTTACTGAGATTCAGTGATTCAGAGTCAGGAGGTCTGACTATAGCTTGGGTGTCGCAAAGACCAGGTAAGAACGAAACTGAGGCTTGTTTCAGAAAACCTTACTTATATTGTTAAAACAATATTATGCACCAAACTTTCCTTCAGATTTTTCTCAGTTTTTATTTTTAATATAACCACTTCAGTTAGGGTCTAAAGACAGCCCTCTCGAACATTCGTCAAATGAACCTTTTGACTTAATCTGATAAACACTGCATCACAAAATGTCAGAGCTGGAGAGGGTAGAAAATGATTGGTCAAAGCAGACTTCATTGAGTTAGGTCGAAAGGTTAATTTGACGCATGTTCAAGAGGGCTGTCGTTAGACCCTAACTGAATTGGCTATTTTGTTTAGGTTTATATAAAGTAATAATAAAATAATGTTCGAACTTGGTGAGGTGATGTACAACCTTATTAACAAAACTAACAATAATAGAAACGGAAGTAAACTTTTCAAATTGGACAAGTCACTACTCAAAATTTTGTATCCAAAACGTGAAATGATTTTTTATTTAATTTTAATTTCCAGATTCTGGAGCTTTAGAAGTCTACAACTTGGCGCCATTCAGAGCCTGCGATTTTAAAATACGTAAACTCTCAGACAGAATCAAAGATTTAAATAATTTAGTGAATCTGTACCCAAATATTCCTAAAGATCAGGCGTTTGGTGGTGACTACTCCCCTGCAGTCCGTAAGTTGAAGATTTTGTGTTAGTTTGAAATAACATCATGTCATTCAGATGAGAATAAGAACTGAGCAAGAAAGAAAAAGAAAAGAAGGCTGCTTATACAACAGTCAATATAAAATTTACTTCACTTCTCAATCAATCAGGAGTAGCAAACAATTCTTACTGTTTGGCAAGTACCATAAGCTAGATCAAGATTGATTGTCAAAACATGGCTAAGTTAAACATGGGTTCCCTTATTTTCATTTATAAAATGAAAATGCTAATATTTATATGAATAGAAAGTAGAGGTGTTCTAATGACTTGGAAAAATACCAGTTTGTCTCACATGTCTATAATTAATTCATAATTAGCTAAATTAGAAGAGATTTACCAGCAGAATTCCAATGAGTGACCGATGAAGAATGGTCAAAAAGTCTTTTTTGTTTATCCAGATTGAACATACATGGACATTTATGAACATTTTAAAACAAGGAAACCCATCTTTAAATAAAGTAATAACTGATATCCATAAAGTTAATTTCTAAAAACTACATGAGGAAGTAATTCAGATAATTATCTCTAGTTTATTTTCATCATTACAGAGCAACCTGATCAGATGAAAGATGGCTACATCAAACCACATTTAGTAAATGTTATACAATGGTATGTATTTACCTTGTTTAATTTTCATCAAAATATACGACATTAAACTTAAAATTATGATGATTCAGACAACAAGCTGATAATTGGTGTGTTTGATGATGTCATGAATTCACGAAGGTCTTATATGATGCAAGCAAATTTGCTGTAAGTGACATCAGCAAACACTTAGTTTTAGTAGAATTGCAGGAAGCACTGACGTCTGATTGAAATTGGAATGATGTAAATTGATACTATCAGTGTCCCTGATACACTTACAAATTTTAGAAAACCTCATTACAATCTCTCTAAATTACAAAAGACCTTGACAACCTTCTAAATGATCTGAATGTCTACTCATTGGCTTCAATTAAAAAAAATGTTGATTGAATATATTTTCAGGAGCCATCAGAATACGCCACTACATCGTGATATGAGTGAAGGACCAGAAACACCAGTTCCCTATGACTATAACCCTCCCTCTAATTCAACCTATCCTGAAGTGTAAGCATACATTTTACTGACTGATTGATGTATTTAACTGGGACTACGGATAGTCCAGTGGGAATTTTTTTCACATCAGGGTGGGATTTTAAATATTTTTAGGCATCAATGCAATACAGGCCCTTAATGATTGTTGTCGATCAACATTTCCATGACGTTGAGTTTCACATTTAACAGGATTGTTTGATACAAAACATTGATTAATGACTATTATGTTCTGTTTCAGATTTTCACCCAATGGAGAAAGTTTGGATAATTTGATGCAGTTTGAAACTGACTATACATCTGATGATGTCATCAACGTTAACGAACTTTTGAATAAATTGTATTAGAAACCACGTGGCCCTAGATACTTTAACCACTAGTTGATACATTTTATGTTTCGATACTTTCAGCGACTATTAGTGGGTAGAGATTACATTAATATTGTGTTTCGTTATTTAGATTCAAATTAGATTACATGCAATGGCATTTATAATTTTGAGGAAATTTCAGCGACGTTAAAAAACGATTATAGAATCATATTTTTTTCCCAATATGAATGAAATAAAACAGATATTTGATGTATAAAAAATACATTTCAATATTTGATTATCACTATATATTCCTCTATATTTAATAGTTTCCTTCATTTTTAAGAAATTTAGTAATCTATCTATCAGTAATGGCCATCTTGGCGCTATCATTTACGTGCCGTTGTTTGGTTTGGATTTTTTTACCAACTCTTTGAAAACAAGGACTGTGAATAGTGAATACAACCAATCAGAGCCCTTCACAGTAAGTCTGTAAATAATCAGCCATAATGTTATCAATCTTTCTGTTGAAGGCTCTGATTGGCTGTATTCTGTGATATAAGAACAGTGGCTATAACAGTCAAGGTATAAGAAGAAGGTTGTATAACCTTGACATTGTGAAGATAATCTGGGATGAAGACCAAAAAACCTTCAAGTCTATGCTTGTCCTAATCTTCCAATTTTTTCATAAAATTTTGTATCATAACATTATGAATAATATATATCTTGTACATTTCTTTCTCTCTTCATTTTACTTTTTTGATATATCCATAGTTTTCGTATGTTTTGTTTTTTAAAGTTTTTTGTTAACAATTTTTGTAAATATTAAGATGTATTGTACAGACATATCATCATTTTGTTTTTATGTACATTATAGTGCTTTAAGAATTGTTTAAGCTTTAAAAGGAGGGCTGTTTCTTACACTGAAGCTAGGGGGAAACCAGCGTAGATCTCCGTCTGATAGTTGATAATTTTAGATATACTGAAATTGCCTGTTTACCTGTTTTTGTCAACACTTTCAGACCAAAATAGAGGCTTGTCTACCCTTAGTACACAGGTATATATCTTTGCCTGACTATGGTAAGTTTTTAAAATCGCTAAAAAAAATTTGTCAGTGTGTCCATTCATGTTGACCTTCAAAATGTCTTCAGATGATTGATGGAAAGTAGCACACGTACTGCCCCGCAATCAGGCATAAAAATTTGTCTGTGTGTCTTTTTGTTTTATCGATAATTTCAGGTCAAAACAGAGACTTGACTGCCCCTAGCATACAGTAACCCCTGCTTGACTTTAAGGTGTGTATTTTGTTAATGTATATAAACATATCATGTTTTAATGATTTAGATGTTAGTTTTTGGATTCTAATAAGCTATTGGAGCATGCATTTAGTGATCAGAGGCTATATTCTCTAAACTTTAACTTAAATAAAATCCGATTTGAAAGAAATACAGTAATCTGATTGGATAATAAAACGTAATTTAAGATTAACGTTAGTGTTGACCAATCAGATGACTGGAACATTCAAAGTTAAGTTTTCAAGAATAAGCATTTATTTTAATAGTGGGGAAGATAAATTCTGGGTGGATGTATGAGGCTCTTTTGGAGAACGTAACTTCTGGGGTCAAGCAGGAAGTTTAATGTTTTTAAGACATTAAGTAGCGCTAGTTAATTTGTAAATATGTACATATTCAACAAAAAAACAAAAAATAAAAGTTTAAAATATCATAGTTGTTTTTCAGAAAGGGAAGTAATTCTTTATAATTTCTATTTGCATTGAAAGTTTACGTTCCCCTACTTTTTAGAAGTACATGGGGACATTCTGGCCACAGTCAAACGTCAAACTTTTCTGCACCTTGTGGGCTAATGAAGACCGGCAACACCATACAGGGTGCTATGAGGGAAATTTTGTAAGGACAGCAGCATTAGCTCTTGTTCGATTTCAAATGTGCCCAGTCTGTAGCACACAGAGACTCACACGCTTTTTCCATGTCAGCCCCTCTATTGAGAATGGAGGCATGTATACAATGTTCATTTGGTTATATCTTCTTACACAGTAACCAACAGACTGTTGGCAACCTGAGAGAATATGACCAATCGCTGGATTCACTCGACCAAACGGCATTGTTTTTAGAGACTAAACCTTAGAAGGCATCTGGAAATAAGACGTAAGTTTTGATAGTTCTCCCTTCTTCTCTTTAGAGAGTCCACACAGTTTCATCTTCACAATGTCAACCCTTCATGAAATTCGTCTTCTACCTTGACTATAACAAGACCCTGTGATAGAACCAATAACAAGGCCCTCTGATAGAACCAGAGAGAAAAGATGGCAGGCCCGGTTAGAGAACCAATAACAAGGCCCTGTGACAGAACCAATAACAAAGCCCTGTGAGAGAACTGATGACAAGGCCCTGTGAGAGAAACGATATTAATATGATCAATGGTTATAAATATAGAAGTAAAGTGCAAAATAAATTGTTTGTATTGGAAAGAAAAAGTTTTGTTATTTATAACTGGTCTATTGTAAATCCTAATCTTAGCAAATCTTATTGTCTATATTGTCTCTTATAGGCCACTAGATATTTCAACTTGTATTACATGCGATAGCTGAAATTGAGATGGTAAAGTAAATATTTAGATGACTATACAGATAGCTGAAATTGAGCTCTATCAGCTGGAAAAGTAAATATTTAGATGACTATACAGATAGCTGAAATTGAGCTCTATCAGCTGATATAGGAAATATTTAGATGACTATACAATTAGCTGAAATTGAGCTCTATCAGATGGTATAGTAAATATTTAGATGACTATACGTGTAGCTGAAATTGAGCTCTATCAGCTGGTAAGGTAAATATTCAGATGACTATACGTGTAGCTGAAATTGAGCTCTATCAGCTGGTAAAGTAGATATTTAGATGACTATCTCCATTTAATAATCCCCAGAAGGCAGAAAAACATATAATTTATTTTACTTGACCTAATAAAGAAAGAATTCGCCAAATAATGATTTATTACCGTTTACCTTTTATTCTGAATAAAATGGAGAGCCTATTGTAAGGAAGACACGGGACAGATTTGTCGTCAAAACATTTAGTCAAATTTCAATATCTTTCTGAGAGCTCATATAGTTTTGTATTTATGTGTATTTGGATATCATTTTGCTGTAGAGGCCTAGAACATTGGGTAATTTTTTAAATTGTGACAAAGATGTGAAATTAAAGGAAATAAAACAAAGTTTAGATCAAATGATGATCTGTTTTTAATTGTCTATATTGATTCTGTTTTGAGGAAGATTTTTTTGACATTTCTAAATAAGATAGACTAACTCATGTAGGCCTATTCTTGTCTTTGATATGTAAGATATTTCAACTAACTTTATCTAATTGAAGAGGATATTCAAAACCAATTTAAATTCAAGTTCTAAAATGGAATAGAAATTTCAAATTAACTTGTATCTAAACATCAGACATCATCTAATTTAAAAAAGAAAGACATAACTTTTATTTTTATATTTAAGTCTTTCCGGCTACAGAATACATATTTATGATTCAATCAGCTGATTCAAACACACAATTATTGAAAGAATACAAATTTAAAATATCCATCAAATAATACATACTTGAAAGAAAAGCAACAGTCAAAAATGGTGTTATTAAAATCAGTGGGACAAACAGTGACAGCCATGGTGAGAATGGACAAGAAAAATAGAAATAACAATAGATCTAGGCAACATAAACCTTTACATCCAACCAGTAATATACAAAAAGATTTAGAATCACGGTTTATAGTGTCTGAGTTGATGAGAAAACCAGGATTCAAACATGGATCGCCTGTAGAGAAAAGTTCCAAGGAAAATCGTCGGAGGGGGTCTACTTCTAAACTTGATTTATTAAAATCTCTTGGATCTTCGGATGCCTCTGAAAATTTTAGGAAATTACGACGGAGAAATTTTCCCGGATCCTTACATCTGACAAAACAAGACTTTCTACTGGAATATGTCGAGGATGAACTGGTAAATTAGACATTTATTTTTATTGAACTAGATATTATAGTCCTTGCCATGTATTCCTGGCTAAGTATTCTTCAAACGATCTTAGCGCTGGGATGTCCTTGGTACTTATCTTCTAACACTGTTTCTAGGATATCATAGGGTCTTAACTTCTAACATTGATGCTAGGACATCTTAGGCTAAGATCGTTTCGAGAATGTGTGACCCTAACATTGGGTCCTGGAATAGCAAACACCACAGTGGGAACCCGAGAGGTCTTCTGGACATTTTGAATACAATGTAATAGTCTTTTATAATATCAGAAGTAGACAGATTCAGACATTCATTCCTCATATCCTGGTTCCCAACTTTACTGCTATCCGTAGGGATCTGAGATGCCTCGAAAACAATCTAAACAGTAGAGTCATGATATTAGAAGTGTAGGGTTGTGTTCAGATATGAAACTGATCCTGGTGGCTAATATGAACCCTTTCAGCTGACAAAGCAAATATATTTACAACTCTTTTTTTCTTTCAGCCCCTAGAGAAATTCCAAAAAGCAGTCAGGAAAATAATCACAATGTTAAAAGTTGTAGGTAAACCCAAGTATGTCGAGATTTTACATTTTATATTGACCTACAGGTTGTTTCGAGTATTTGAAATTTGAATTTCATATCAGTACCACCTCTCGTTTGAAAAAGATTAATTCGTTTGTTTCTAATCCAATTGTACCAAACCCCCCTCAAATTTTAAAAATAAGATTCTTATACGTTTTTGCACCTAAAAATGTGTCAGAATGCAATTTTTCAAAACAAAAAATTCTTGCGAGATCCCTCTAAGACGCTCCATGGGCAACAGAGTTGCTGCATTTTGAATTCAGCCTCAACAGTAACTTGTCCCTCTATTGAGTCGGTCTGTCCCCTATTTGGGGTGGTGTCGCCACTGTTCTAATACACTACCACCTAAAACAGATAAAGTGAGCCATGGTTTCATCTAATCATTAACAAAGAGGGCGGAGGGAGGGAGGGTAAGGGAGGGGAGGGGGTGAGTGGTTTTATCGTATTACCGACAATGCTGATGTCTTTGTCTTCTGAACACTGTATGATCTAATTTTGATTAAGGTTTTATTTCCATACTCGTCTTTGCATTTAGAGAAAGACGAAAAGAAACAGACAGAAATATGTTGTCATGGACAACCATCTGTGATGACCTTCACCTTACTAGAACCAGATATAACGACCTTGGTTTAACCTTTGACCCTACAGACTTCAAGGTCAAGAAAAAGGTAGTATTCTAAATGCTGTTGTTTGGCGTGTATTATTTCTTCCACTGACTCTACAGCTATAAACTATACTATATATGAATGTAGCAATGCTACAATTACATGACAAACATCAAAATCAAGACTGTCGCCCCAGGAAACACAAAGACGCGTTCAAATCATTACCAAAGTAGATTCGTATACATCCCTGTAAGGAACATCTAGTTGACGGATATATAATAGCAGATTGGTATTTCAGGATCATATTAACAGTGAAACGATCGAAACGTTGTGTTTACATCCTGGTGAGCGAACTCCGGATCAGATCCGTCATTGTTTAGTGTCTCTCAACACGTCAGTCCCGGCCTTCAGTGAGTTCCCGAAAAAAATGCAGACAGCATTACTACAAGTCGGATGGTATGAAAGGTAAATGATATCTGAAAAAGTTCGAAGTTCTGTAATCTACGTTGAAGCATAGGAGACATTGGCCTCCATCAAACTTAAATCAAAACGCAAAATATACCTTCGACTTTGTAAGCATAAAGTATTTTGCACCATGCCATGCTCAGAAACCACAACCGTTTGTCAAAAATCACAATCTGATTAACTAACGAACTATATTAAAATCGACAACAATGAGTCAATGAATGGACGCATACCATAGTACCCTTCATTTTATATTTTTATGCTTTATGTATTTAACCGGCAACTCATTTTCAGGTTCGAAGCTGGTCGAGTGATAATTCGTCAAGGTCATCGTGCTGATAGATTTTACCTAATACTTTCTGGTCAAGGTCAGTACTATTTTTTTTCTCAGGTCAAGGTCAGATAAAGGCCAGTACTTTAAAAGTTACATCTCATCGTCAAGGTCAGAAGTACAGGTCAAGGTCAGTACTGGTGAAAATCTGGTTAAAGTCTAGTCAAGTTCAAGTTCAAGTCAAGGTCAATAACATTGGCAGTAAATGTCTTGTCAAGGTCAGTACAAGTTAATTTCAGGTCAAGGTCACTACAAGGTTATCTCGTGTCAAGGTCAGTACATGTACATTTAGTACAATAAACATAGGTTTAGAACAGTCAAATCCCCATTGTTTTGATCATGCTTACTTGACCTAATTTACTTGACAATATACTTACAGCTGTAGTAACAATCCTGGAAACGAGACCAAAGAAGAAATCGAAACAGGAATCCAGGGCGTCACACGACGGCCTACCGAAAATACACGAATCTGGATCAGATAGGAAACAGGAACAATATTATGTCCGAACAGCTCGCTTACTGGAAAAGGGAAAAAGTTTTGGGGTAAGTCGATTTCCAACTGCTGAGAGATCTTTAACATGCACTATATCACAGGGCTCCCAGCTAGTTTATTATTTCATCCGAAAGACTCGACGCTGTTTCCATGTCAACCCCTCGACCTGAATCACTGACAAGAGATACTGGTTTAAAAATCTGTACCAATGCAGGGATTAAACCCTGAGCAAGGATCAAACTCACTGAGCCACATCTCATGCTGTAGACGTGAGATTCCGTTTAAACATCTTGGCTCAACCTAGTCAAACAATGATATACTGAAAAAGGAGGGGGTGGGGATATAAAACATACTTTCATTCAATTTCCAATTAGGCACACAAAAATTTAGACCTACAACTTCAATTTCACAACCCTATCATAAAAAGTTGTTTGTTTCGTTTCATTTGCCAGGAGCTAGCTTTACTACAGGGTTCAATACGAACAGCAACTGTAACTTGTCGAACCGACATGGAATTACTGGCTCTAGATAGACCGGATTTTATTAACATCTTTATGAAGGCAGATACAGGGAAGGAACCAGATCACATTCAATTCCTTAAAAGTCTGGATATTTTGAAAGGATGGCCAGTTGATAAAATACCTTGGAATGATCCGAATATCTGTGCCTTTACATATGTCAGGTAAGCCTTTTGATTAGTGAAGAATCGTTTCCTTTGAACATTAGTTAGTTACCTTTTCACTCAATTTTGTCAACGAATGAATTCAGTTGCAGAGAGGCTACTTAGGACTATACACATCTATCACGAATACGGATTTTGACATGGTCTTATTAACAGGAAAGTTTGACGAATGGGGGTGTGGTTTGGACACGATGGACTATAAATTGACTATAGATCAGCCACTTTGTGACCTGATTTCGATGGCGAATTGCGGATAGCTGTGTATTTAGGAATTTCGACCCTGCAATATTGAATATTTATTTATGTTTAAAAGAGCTAGAAAAAGAAAAACTTTTTGTTAATCTCAGACTGACGTTGAAATTTAAATACGGTTTGGTAATTGTCGTATCCCTCGCTTGCGGATTTAACCCATATATAAACAATTAGGCTCCGAATTTAATCATACCTGCTTTATTACAATCAGAACAAGAAATGGCGGGTAATTACAATACATGGTAGAGGGGTATTGGTAATGGCGTAATGATAGACAAGATGCAATTACAGTAAACCATCTAAAACATGATAAGCTAGAGTCACTAACCAGTCAATAGAAAGTGACAATATTTCAATCTGTAATTTCAGAAGAGAAACTATTCTCTGTCAAGATAGTAATAATTCAGATCTGATATTTGTGGTGATGTCAGGAACATGTCGAGTATTAAAATCTCTACCAGCTGTTCAACCCAAACTTTACCGTAGTGAAGTTACAGACTACGGCCTACAGACCCCACGTACAAACAGTGAGTAGGCCTACTATTCTCATTTAATGCTCGTCATCGACAGTTGGTGGGATATCTGCCGAACCGTTTAGCAATGCTTGAAACATTAGGCAACTCCTTACAGTTTCCTAAAAACCTGAAAGAGTCGCCCAGCTCCTGTCCGTTAACAGATCTCAAGCCCATTCAATCTCCTTATAGCTTAAACCCACAGAATCCTCTGATTGACAGGATTGTCGAGAATCTATGTTGTTATCCTTGTAAATCATTGTCAAGAGATTTGACGAAGGATTGAATTCATTCATCTGGGTGCATAGAAACAACTGTCGTGGAATTAGGATTGTACATAGCTTTAACATGATGTAGGCCTACGGATGAACTGCAGACAAGGATGAGGGAATCTTAAAACACAAAACTTAATCTTTTTTTTTTATGTTTTTCAGGAACAGAGAACATCAAAGTTCGATCACCGACGTCTGCAAGAGATTCCCACTCTCCTACGTCCTTACGACCTGGTCGGAAACCGTTACGCAGTAGACTAGAGGCTGATATAGCTCTGTCGAGAAACAACACTGTTTTATCGTCCGTGGTTTCCAAAACTCCAGAACAAGGTATGGTATAGTCAGACTTTTCCTGCCATGTGTTGCAGCATTGTATCAACTTGTGCAGGTCGGAGGGGTGATATGTAAAAGGGTCTAGTCGTTCCGACGCTAAGTAAGCCACGAATGTTTTTTGTCTACCATCTGAATTTCGAAAGTGACTTTTTGTTGTTGTTTTTGAAGTGGCAGCAGATGCAGTAGAACACATCAACATAATCAACAATGTTTATAATAAAAGACACGTGCTGCCACCAATTGATAAACATTCCCGCCAAAATACCACCGTCTCATCGTTTGCTCAACAGACCTGGTCAACGACAGCAGACGACAGTCCTGATGAACAAATATATATCCATCTGACAAAACTGGGACGCGGAGACGTTTTTGTAAGTAGACCCTCTGGGTAAATTTACTAAGAATCATTTCCCCACCATAAAAACAAATTTCTTAATCTAGCCATTTATAGATTATAGATAGGCCTAGACCGACATAATGGGTAGACCCCAATGCACATGCATTTTGATGATTTTGTGTACATAATGCGCGCACGTATGCGTTAAAGGCCTATCTATTAACGCTTCAAAAATATATGATGCCTTGCGTATATAGTTCCATATCTGTCTCTTTAGTAGCTGGGACGGGACAGAGAACCTTTCAATTACAGTATAGACTACATACAAGGTAGTTCATTGCAGTCGTGGTGTTTGTTCAGATAAGCTCTCTTTGCTCAGCCTGAAAGCATCTTTATGATATTAATGAATATAAACCAAATCAGATATTAGTCAGCATGGCATGGTAGCATCTTTATGAATATCAACCAGATGATACATTGTTTATATTGCAGGGGTTAGAACAAGTGGTATTAAAGGGGCTGGGAGAGACCACCAGTTCGTGTCTGGTTTCTGACGGTGCCGAGTGTATCATGATCAATAAATTATTCTTCCGAAAACACCTCACCCAGGATCTCGCTAAACAGATGAGGAAAAAGGTATTTTTGAAGGTACCTGGGAATTGTGGGACTCCAATCAGCATGTTTTTCGGGAGTAAAAGGGTCGCTGCAGTACCTGGGCACATTTATCTTCAATTCTGAAGAGCCATGAGCAGTCGAAATGACCCATATATATGGGAAATAACTCATGTATAACAATTATGTACATCAGACCACAATGGTTTGTGATTTCGGTACCAAATGAATGAAAAGAGAGTCGATCAAAGACCAACTGGTAGACAGGATCGTTGAGAACCTAACCTGTTTTGAATGTAAAACCATCGCCATTACATGAAAGCAGGATCGTTGAGAACCTAAGCTGTTTTGAATGTAAAACCATCGCCATTACATGAAAGCAGGATCGTTGAGAACCTAAGCTGTTTTCAATGTAAAACCATCGCCATTACATGAAAGCAGGATCGTTGAGAAACTAAGCTGCTTTCCATGTTAAATCATTGTCATTGGCCAACAGGTATACAGAATTCAAAAGAGCCTAGTAACAAGAGAACGGAAATAGTTATCCTTGTTAAATAGGGTCGTTTAGTTTATTTTTTCATTCATCAACTGTTTATATTTCAGATTCAGCCATTTCCCTCAGAAGATATTTTACAGCAGAAATTACAGACTCAAATAGACTGGGAGGAATTTAAACATTTAACAGTCTTGGATCATCTGGATTTTAATAAACATGTGCAGACGGTTTCTTGGAAACACTGATCTTTGCCTGGACAGTGGACAAGTCGTCTTTTAAAGAGATTTTTTTAATTCCACAAGTGTCAAATAATTTAAATAAACAAAGACTGGTTCCTGTAAGCATTTATCTTATAGCAACCGTTACTATGGGGGCAGGGCTTATTAGCCTAAGGCTCGGTTTTAATCATCTTGATGATGCTGGATGTGAGTCTAGCAACCGTTACTATGGGGTAGGGCTTATTATGCTCAGTTTCTGTCATCTTGATGATGTTGGATGTATGCCAAGCAACCGTTACTACGGGGTAGGGCTTATTATGCTCAGTTTCTGTCATCTTGATGATGCTGGATGTGAGTCTAGCAACCGTTACTACGGGGTAGGGCTTATTATGCTCAGTTTCTGTCATCTTGATGATGCTGGATGTGAGCCTAGCAAACGTTACTACGGGGTAGGGCTTATTATGCTCAGTTTCTGTCATCTTGATGATGCTGGATGTGAGTCTAGCAACCGTTACTACGGGGTAGGGCTTATTATGCTCAGTTTCTGTCATCTTGATGATGTTGGATGTATGCCAAGCAACCGTTACTATGTGGACAGGGTTTATTATGCTCAGTTTCTGTCATCTTGATGATGTTGGATGTGTAACTGGCAACTGTTACTATGCGGATGAGGCCATCTTTATGTTGGATATAGGATTTCCAACCGTTACTATTCACTCACGGTTATTCTCAGGAATAAACAAAAGCCGTATGAATTTCATTAAGGCTTTATTGTGACTTGATAATCTAACCTACACAGTGAAACATGACTGAAAAATATTTCTACAACATAAAAAGTAAGAAATCAGAAATATACAAAATCAATCAAGTCTAGGGGCAGTTTGTATCAAATACTAAATAACAAGAATTGTTAAAACATTATTTCTCCCAAAGAACACAATCTTGTAAACATTATAAAATCAAGTTTAATAAAGACAAGTTTAAATATTGTCTAAAATATCAAGGATTGATAAAAATAAAAACAAAACAAATTATTTTGAGCCGAGTTTTAAATATTGTAAAAAAGTAGTTGATGCAATCAAATATTTCAGTAAAAAAACAAGTGCACAATGGGGCAAATGAACACATAAACACAGAACTTAGTTAAAATGTTGATCAAACCCTCTACCCCTTCAGAGATAACATGAAAATGATGAATTCATACTTCGTTGCTGATAAATTTAGCGTTTAAATAGCACTGACCAACTATTAATCAGAAGTATAGAAATGACACTAACTTAGGAAACAACAGTTTTTATGGATATAGACCTCTACTTATTATTGTACACAGGTAACGTTATCAATAATAAATAGAAGTCTATATCCATAAAAACTGTTGTTTCTTAATGTGCTGTGATTTTTCTAAATGTCTTACAAGGATGACACTAACTTAGACAGGGCAATGACATGCTGAGAATAGTTTAAATACTTTTCATTTCATATTCTGTTTTTAAACAGTGCTTCGCTAAAGACACAAATAGATGAGGTAAAGTGTTAGGTGTAGGATTATCAATACAGTGAAAACAGTTCTGGACACTTCACTTTTATTTTCTCATGTATCGATTATCCCCCCTCGTACCTCATGTATTTCCACCTACTTCTTCATCTTATTCTTTGAAGGGACACGTAGGCCATTTTTCTGACCAATCATACTTTAGTCTCAGAGACTGGAATTTTTTAGCTGAGCTAATTAGTAATAGGTTCACAGTTCACTATCAAAATTTGAGCCTTTTAATTCATGTGTCAATAATTATTTGCGTTTGAATGTTAAAATGACGACTCATCAATATAAGATACTCTGTGATATATAGAAAAGATATCTAAAGAAATAATGAGTAAAATTCCTAGTTTGAGGTATTTTTTAAGGAATTATGTGATTTTCATACATTTCTAGTACTTCTGAAGACTATTTACATATATTCAGGACTAAAATCAACTCCCCTAAATGGCACACCTATCCTATTAATGATTAATCATTCTAACAAAAATACATGACTTTTGGTATTTGATATTTTTTGGTTTGTGATTTTAAAAAAACTGAAAATATTTCTAATAATATATACATTAACCAGTTTTATACAAATTAAAAAAATTCAACAGACAAATTTTGATCTAAAACTTTAAAATAATATAATAGTCCTATTAAATCTTGTCAGCTGATAGACCTTCACTATCTTTGGAACTTAACAAGAACCAACTTTGGTAATAATTCTACTAGAAACTGAAATTGAGTTCCATCAGCTGCTACAGCAATGACGACTTTAATGATAGCTCAAATTGAGCTCAATCAGATGGTAAAGAAAAGATGGCATTAACGATACCTGAAATCGAGCTCAATCTATCAGATTGAATGGAAAAGCATGTGTTGGAGGGTCCATTACAGGTTGAGGGGTGCCAAATTGATAACCCATAAATTATTCACCACCACAGATTACAAAAGCTTCAGTTTACAAATCATAAGAGTCTTACAACTGGATTCCATTTTCTCCTTGACAAAAACTAAGATAATGTTGAGTAACCTTGACCTGATCTGATATTACCCCTGCCCCCTCTTTCATCTTCAAAAACAAAATTACAAAAAAATAATAAAAAGCACATAATATAAGTAAAAAATAAAGCACATAAACAATGGACATCTGGACTCTCTGCTGAGTTGATAAACCCAGTTTACAGTTTACAGAGTGGCATCGGGTGTTCCAGTAAGAGCGAACACTGCCTTGCTAGCAACACCTTTCACAGTACTAATTTTGATGAAACTCAAATATTATGAAGTCTTTAATTTAACACTAAGTAACTAAAGATGATGATTGTATAGCACACGATTTCAACATACCATATATATATATAAATATATACAGATGTCCTTATATGTCCTTTTTCGTAGTTTTACTTCTGCAATACGAATATATAGATTCTCTGCATTATTTAGTTTTCAAAATTGAAAAAAATCCATTCGAACACTGGTTAAATCTAACAAGTGCACATAATTACAAAATTTCTAAAATGAATCTTTTACAAAATATGATTGTATTTGATGGTGAAGGTCGTTACCATAGTTACTCTTCACATAGTCAATATGTCTGCAACTCAAACTGATCCTGTTCTTCTGGTTTTTGGACCCAGACACCCAGCCCCGACAACTGGAATGCTTTCATCATATTCATCTTGGCAGACTGGTAATCCAAGACTAGTTTCTTGGCGTCAAGGTAACACCGAACTTGATTAATGTCAGTAGTTACCGTATAGGATGGAATTTTTCCGTACAGTTTCAAAAACTCTTTGAAAAGAGAGGCTTTACAAACTTTAGGTGGCTCGGAATTCTCGGTTTTACCCGTCGTGGCGTTGACGACTTCTAATTCTGGATCTCCCACACACCAGCTAACGCTGAAACTGGGTGCTTTACCCGGCAGACGACTCTCTGGACTGTTGATTCCACTCAGGAATGGTCGATTTAAACGGAAAGGCATGATGAGATTTTTGATGTTTTCGATACGACTATATACGGCACGAGAAAGATGGTCGCTATGATACAGACTGCCCAATATAATGCTGTCCAAATAAATCGGCTTAACAAAATGGCTGACCAATGAACCTGAAATGACAAAAGAATACATTTCTAAATTAAAAAGTATTTTCCAGACTCCAAAAAGGAAGAATTTCTCAAAAATCATGTGAAGCATTGGTTAACACAATTTGTGATCCACATAAAAGTTACATCATGAATATGTGATCAGAGACTTTTCTAGGAATCATTGATTGGTGGGGATACTGAATTGTCTAGGAAAGCAAGTTAAGAAGCCAGTGGGGAGGGTCCACAGCCCCCCTCACCCCCTGTAGAAACTCTACTGCATGTGAATATAACAAAATCAACAGCTATGATAGTCTAAATACACACGTGGTTTCAACTGCTTTTCTGACACGAAATTGAATGTCACACACAGTAGATAACAAGGATGATATTTGCAAGTTTCTGATGTAACATTTTAAAATGTCAGCTTTCTGTTAAATTACAGTAAAAAGTCAGTAATTACCAATAAATTACTCTCATTATGTAAAGAATTAAAAACTTAAAGATACAACATGTTAAATTGGTTAAAATATTCCGTTATCTGTTTACTTGGTTAAAGGCTATATACCACATAGAAAAAAGAGCCAATTTCAATAATCATCACCAATTACAAGAGCAGATATATCTAATTGGGATGACTACTTTAAGTTTTTTCGCTCTAAGCATTTTTTTGCCCATATTTTATGAAATTTTGTAAAAATTGCTCTTTTTCCAGGCTGGATATACTGTTTTCTTGGGTCACTAGTTTTGGGGATTTTTCACCATGACAAGAGCCCCACCCACAATGCAGTCAACAAGGTGTAGACTTAACTTACAGAGTTGTAATATGTTCAAAACTACTACTTCAGATTCTGAAGAATATGGACTTTCATTTCATATATTGAAATTATATTATATTATTAAAACTAACTTCACAAACATTGCTCTATCACTAGAGCTTATGCCTATATGCCTGTGCCTGTGCTTTCGTAACATTACTTAACCACAATGTTACAACCTAAAATTCCTATTATCTAGCATATCTCTTTATTTGTGACCTTGGCCAGTGCTTTACAAAGTAATTTTATGAATGCTTAATTCTAAAAAAGGGAAAAGCCTACCGATTATTTAAAATGTAATATATTATTGGCTATTAGGAGAGAAAACTTATTCATAAATCCTGTTCTAATAAAGTTCACATCCACTCCCCCGTTCAACAGATAACCAGTTTCACAATAGAATATTAATCCTAAAATCTTAATCCGAGGGAACAATTTATCAAAATGAGCTGTTACAACCAACAGTAATGGAGGATTAAGAAAGCCAATTTTAAAAACACTTAAAAGTCATTTGATAATTTATATCTTAAAAGCCTTGCTATTTTATGAGTTAACAAGCGTACAACATGGATTATTGATTGCTGCAATTTTTTTCCAATAATTGTTGCCAGTAATTGCCTGTTACGTCAATCTAAAAACTTCAATGACAGAGTCACAATTATCGATTTATACAAAGACATTTTTATAACGCTAACCAATTCAATATTACATGCTTATTCTCTTAACTTGCTGATAGAATTAATAAACCAAATCAATTTTATCAAATATGCGGACTCTCCGCAAGTGCAATTAATAAGAGGACCCCATCTTACTAAACTTAAAGAGAAGACTGACTGAAAAGCCCAAACCTTGTAAAAACCATTAAAAGAAACACGTACAAGACCAAAATATCTTTTAACTATGATGAATTGTATTAAATTTAGTTTTCGTTGTTTTCTTTAACCTTCATAAAATAAGATGTTTTGGGATTTTTTTTGTCTAAAAACGACTTGCTGATCTAGAAGTATTGGACAAGAGTTTCGCGTGTTTTTTTTACGACTGTAGATTAATCCCCCAGACATTAAATATTTATTGTAGACTATGTTATCCAGATCCATTAGGTGACAAAATTTAATTTCTTTCTCTCGTGAACGGCATGAATATTTTATATTTTATTCCAACTTCGATTGTCACTTTTTCCTAATCAGTCAATTTCTCGCCGCGGGAACATTTCCCGCAAATCAAATTCCCATTTGAGAGTTTTTTTTTACTCCCACATTAACCCTGGTAAATTATTGAATTTAGTTTTTACGCTTACAGATCGTAAATTGAATATATTGAACATCCAAGAGACGAAATTGGCAAAACCAGGCAAAGTGAGAGCTGAGAAATAGCTATAGTCTTAATGATGTATAAGAAATGAAATTCCAAGATTCGTTAATTTTCATGAATCGTGGTTTAATAACTAGGCTATAAGATTTTTATACATACCTTGTAAACCAAGAACATTCCATCTAGCTATCTTGTCACTACACGACATTGTCAAGAGTCGTTCCCCTTGTAAAACTCCGTCCCACGTCTGTGTTGTACCGTTATTACTCACAGGAATAGTTCCCTCCCCTGATTCTATTTTAGTTCTCAATTGACCACGAGCTTTACGATTGGGATGTCGATCTCCAGCTTTCATTTCTGCTTCATGGGGGGAAAAAATACGAGCGTCACCACACGGAGCAGTGTTGATATATAAATGAAATTTTATATTCTCTTTCAACTGAAAACCTGCGTCACCATTTCGTTCGAATATTGAGTTTTCCGCCTGTCCGTCCAGATGAAGTTGTAGTTGAGCATAGAAGTATCGCAGCAGAGATCTCCGCGCGATAATTTCTGCGTGACAGTCATTTAAAGATAAGCCTTGTCCACTCATATATTCACCATTGATACATTTGGTTCCCGTGGCAACACTGATCACTTCTGCTGAATTTTCTCTCGTCATGACGAATCCCGCCAAAACTTTTCGTCTGGCATAGCGACTGGTGAAACCGTCTGTCAAATCACCAAATTTATTGATAACCATGTTGGCAACGGAATCTGCCAAGTGAGCTGAGATTGGACTCGATTCATCACTAAGAACAGGCTCAGTTCCTGGAATTACAAAAAAAATAACAACATATTAATCAAGCCATAAAAAAAAGTAGAAAATAAGAAATGTTAGGGCGTATTTTTTATTCGTATAAACAATATTTATTTATTAGCATTGGGGAACAAGATTTCACTTAAAGCAGGGTTTTTCAATTTTTTATTTCTATTACCCTTTTCAGAATCCTGGATTGATTGCATTACCCCTCGACCCTATAAATCTTTACTATTTCATGATTTTCTCTTAGGTTTTCTCTGCAATCTTTCCTATGTTGGAGAATATAGTCTGACTGAATAGAACGACTTGAATTATAAATTTCCAAAAATTTTATGCTCGACTACAAAGCGCATCATTACTCCCAAAAATCCAATATTACACCCATGGGGAAATTACCCCCAGGTTGAATTGAAAACCCCTGACCTAAAGTACTCTCTCCTTGGTCCTATTTTTTCAGCACTTTATTGGGCCAAAGAAGACAAAAGAAATGTTAAAAACAGGTTGTGTGCCAACTTTGTAGAAAAATGGGACTAAATCCTTGTATCCCAGTGTTCCAACAGTATATAAGATTTTATTATTATTATTATTAAGTTATTTTTTCATGTCATGTCAATTCTTCACACCTTATTTTTATATCTCTCTCTCAAATCACATCAAAATAAACTGATATAAAAAACCTTCAATTTTCTAGAAATTCTTTTAAATAAATCAATAAAAAAAGAAGATATAACTACGATAAAATATAATGGATTCGGAAATAACGTTAAATATACTGAAATCGACCAATCAAATAAATTCTCGCTAATGATGTCTTCTGTTTCACTGAACAGTAAGACGTTTTCTGTGTCATATCAGTTTAAAAAGTAGCGGTCAATAATCTTATTTAGCTAATAAACTTCCAACGTCTCGTAAAAAAACACAAAATTACATTCGAGTCATTCGCCCCAGCTTGGTATAAGTGTTATTTAACGATCTTTTCTTTTATTAGCCGGCAGAAAAAATCAATTTGATATCCGTTACCCAAGACAATTGTCAAACTTTATTAGATTTAAAAACAGACGAGGTAAAATATCAAATTTGAGAATATATTCCAGAAAACAGGCCTATTAAGTTTTTGAATGGTATATAGCAATTATGACTACCAAATATAGACACAGTTTTATAGAACAACAATCACTGGTTACAGTTTTATATAATGTTTCTACGCTTTTTTCCCCGTCGTCCTCAGGCACATCAAGAGGCCTATCTTGTGGTTCAATTATGGTTGTGGATTTGAAATGAAAGAAAAGTATCTTAGCTTCTCCTGAAATAACTCAGTGACTAGTTTTCTAAACTATGTTTATATTTTGTAGTATACACGTGATATTGAGAGATTTACTTGGTGTATTTTCAATTATCTATTGAAAAGTCAAAAAGCTAAGATAACAGAATTAAAGGTTTTGGTGACAAAATTCTGAAAATTTGACTACTTCATAAGTTATAAACAAACGAAATTCATAAAACAAATGTGGCTAATGAAGCAATATCATGCAGTGCGCATTTAGGGAAATTTTGTCCAGATATTCTGGATAAGTAAAGAACTTAAAGTTTAACTCGCTACAGTAAGATCTAAGCGCATATTATATATTACATCATAATTACATTATATTTTCTTTACTGTAGAAAATCGTACAACTAAGAGAAACTAATCGTATTATCTGGTAGATTTCTACAGAGTTAATTACCACATAAACCTATTTTTAACACAGAATTAATTTCTAAATCTCACGATGTCTTCCTAATATTAGGTTGTTAGATGATGAACAAAAGTTATCAAATTATTTATTAAGGAATATTAAGATTCAATTTGTTTTTGTGTCTGTACAGAAGATGATTAAATTTTAAACAATGATAATAACGCTGACATCGTGTGAAAATAATATCAACTAACTTTTTTTTTTATATCAATCTATAATTAATATCTAATAATACTGACAATATTGTTTAAAACAGACACGGAAAGCTGACTCAGACCGTAGAGGTTTTATTTCAGCGGTATCACATCACAGTTTGTAAAACAAAATTACTCTTTTTCTATGATTAAAAATGACAGTAATCAAGGAGGATGATGTGGAAATCAAATTAAATTGTATATTTTTAGTGAGATATTGATTGCTATATTATGTTGATGTAAGGCCGTATACCTGACTCTGTATTCTCGAAACCATCTTATCGCTATGATATCATTGTGTACAAACTATAAATAATGTTTCTAGACCTTTCGAAGATTGGTTTGAGAATACAGGGGCCTTGTCATTTTATTGTTAACAAATTGAGACTAATTATTCATTAACATCCAGGCCGAAAGAAAAACAGTTCAATCAATCAGTTTTGAGTATTTTGTTATGTAGTACAGACTTCAAGTTTTCAAAATTTGTTCCTTTTTTGACCAAATAAATTAGGCCCAATTAAAATAGAAAGCAACAAACAGAAAGTTTTTACGTAAATTATTTATTCAAGTCTTAAAAAGTCTCAAATTCAGGGAAAATATACCTTTAAAATGTCAGAAATCAGAGATAAAACTTGAATTTAAAAAAATCAAAGACAAAAAAAATAGAAACTTGGCACACTAGCAATTAGTTTTGTGTCGGCTTAAAAATAAAATATCTTCAAATGTAGGTAAAAACTATTTTATAAAATTCAATTTGACCTTGACCTTATTATTCCAACTCATTGAGACGGTTTTAAATATATCTACAAAATATACGCAACAAAATATTATTTTAACAATTTGAATTTGTCTGAATTATTCTGGTTCCAAGTGATTAAGATCTGTTTTTCCCAAATAGAATTCAAGAGGATCTTAAAAATATAGAGAAAAATCTGAAATTTCTGGAATAATTATGGCTTTGTGACCCAAAACAAATTCTGTACTTTTCTCTCAAATATATTTTAAGATTATCTTAAAAAATGTCAAGTAACAAAATTTGATTTAAAACTGAAAGATACTTACCAGGCGTGCCGTGAAAATCCATGTTAAATATTTTCTTTAAGGAAGCCTGAGCTGCTCGGGCCTTCGCTAATTTTTTATTTCGCCCGGACCCAGTAAACATCTGGTTGTCAACGGTAACCGACATTGTAAAAGTTTTTGAAGCACTTTCTCCACTTTCTGACACAAATTCATATTTTAAATTGGGTCGAAGTTCATTTAGAATCATCACTGGATTCTTTCCTGTTGGTTTAGTTGGTATCGAACGTCGAGCTGGAGGTAAATTCTGAACTCCGTTCTCCGAATGCACTTCCATATTTTCATCACTTCCGTGACTCCCGTTTTTCTTTCCTTCAAAATCGTTAAAAAGACTTACGATAGGTTCAGCTTCGTCTGATGTAAAGTCAGTGTTCACGATTTGACGTCCCATGGCGATGTGGGCCTCAGACGCATTCGGAAATTGAACAAAAGAAGTCAAAGCTTTTTCAGCAGCTTGAAGTTTCGCTAATTTTTTGGTCTGGCCCGCACCTTCGAACTTGGTGTTGTTGACCTCAACAGACATAATGAAGGTGGGTGCGTGAACAGGACCTGTCTGAGACACAAACTGATATTCCAGACCAGGTTTAATCTCATTTAATTGCATCAACGCATTCTTCGGTCTGATTGGTCCTTGTATCTTTCGCTTTTTTCCGTGATGGGAGGATTTATCTCCCTTACGTTTACCAAGCATGGTTCCGTCACCGTTCTGATTTTCTGTCGAATTTGGTGTTTCTGCTAAAACTTCATCTTCTGAAAAGGAGAAAAGAATATTGATTAAACCTCTATGACTTCCAGTCTGATGTTAACCTCACCATGGTTCAATATTTTTCAAACCCTGTAGCGCCCACAGTTCTGGCATGAACAGATATGGTTTAATACAAGCAAGATACACCCACATAAAAATCAAATCTTGGGATGTAACTCCATAAAGAATTGTTGTGCTGTGCTAAGATCAGAACTTATCCAACATCTTGTGAATATAAGGCAACACACTTGTCATATTTCAAGATCACAAGCCACTTATAACCTATTTTCAGTATATCAAGGGCTGTAACTCTGTCAAATTCCTCATGGATATCAGCACCACATTTTATAAAAATCTGAAAGTTGCTTGAGAACAGATATGTCTGATTTCTTGTGGATATAAACCTACATATAAAATATGAGAAAAATCTGAGAAAACTTGGTTTCTTATAATTTGGACCTACACACAGAATTTGATAAAAATCAGACAACAACTGTGGCCTCAATTGCATTCACAAGTCATGTTAAATATATATTCAGTATATCAAGGGCTGTAATTCTATCATTATTACTCAAATTGTACCTAAAGTTGAACACGTCCGAAATCTTGTGGTTTAACATAACATAATAGACTGGTCATGTTTCTATTTGGAAACTAGCTGTTAATATCTTTGCTAAACTCTACATTTACAGGCCTTCGTCATTATAACCATTGTTCCTTTAAAACCATAAAACATTTTTAATTCTGGCGTTGCTTTATGAATCATAATTCTTATTATTGACGTAAAGTAGTTTCAAATAGAATTAAGAAATCTTATGATAAATTCTACCATAATCCATTATAAGACGCATTTTAATCAACAAAATGACTTTTTCTAATGTACATAGACGTAGGCTGAATAAAAAGGATTTTAAAATTTGTATTGAAGAAAGAAAGAAACTAGAATAGATTATATAACAATATAATTCAATTGATGAAATTTTCTTTTCTATTTTTATTTCACAATACTTTATAAAAACATCAAAATATGATCTGATCCGAGTTTCTCTTTGTCAAAATACATTAAAACTAGTTTACAGATTCATAATCAAATCTTGAAATTGAAATGAAGGTTAACATCTCAATGTTTGATTTTATTACATCTGATTAAAATACACAGCCTGTAGCACACAGATCTCCGTTTATTGTCCCATCCAAGCAACTAAACGCACTTTCTATGTCAGCTCCTCCAACCTACATCAGTGGCAGGTGGAAACCAGTTTAATGGCCCATCAGACCGACTAGACACTTAACCATGGCATTCCCTCCACCCTGCATCACTGACGAGGTAAAACCAGGTTGAAAATTCATCTCAACCTATATCCTATGTGGGATTGAACTCTGGATCCTCAACTTAGAGAGCAAGCATCTAACTCACTGAGCCACTGTGGCTCTATCGAAAATACAGTTATTTTATAAAGACATAAAAGGATATAAGGATAATATGCTATTAAACTAATCAACATGGAACAAAAGACTAATTATAACTTTAATTTAACTTACAGAGACAGTAACTTGGTATAAAAATATTAAAGAGACAAGCCTAATGACGTTAATTAATATTAAAGAGACAAGCCTAATGACGTTAATTAAAATTAAAGAGACTAATAGGGAAGGGAACAAGTATATAGTAGAAATTGATATCTATTTTGTATAGAATAATAACATTACTGCCCCTTAACATGCTATATACCCTGATAATCTAAGCTTAAACCCAACATTAAACAAACTAGTTTCTTATCAAACAATTGATCTTATTTAGTACAAACTCAAACTAATAAACTTCATCAGGGATCTTGATACACTGAATTCACCAGTAAATTAAATATTCATCCTATTTTATCAGTCAAAATCCACATAATTCTTCCATTCAAAAGTTTTTATGGTCATTTCACATTATTTTAAATTCACATCAGATTGAATTATATCAAAGAATTATTCTGATCCCCCAAAATTGAATCTTAAAAGTTTATCATCACCCTCGGTTTCACTTTAAATATTCTAATATATATTTTAACAATTTCTCACATTATTCTCAACTTGTAAATTATCACAATTCTGATAAATTTTGAAAAACAGATTCCTGGACTCTGGTTGTCTTGACAACAAAAATATAAATCAATTAACATACCAGTTCCACAAATATTTAAATTTTCAAAAATCCTCATCTTATGATCAGGACTGGAATAGAACTATCCTGAATATTTTCTGATTTTAAACTGTTTTTAAAATATTGTCTGCTTTTCCAGCCTCTATTTCTCTCTTCGTCTTTTCAACTTAACAAAATAACCAAGTATTGTTAATAAGCTAAAATAATAAACACACGATAAAAAGATAACAATACAACAACATGACTTTCCTTCCACAATAAATCTTTATCAATAACTACAGGGGTTTATAATACAATATTTATAATGACAGACATTTACATGTGTAATTTTAGGTCTTTGGTCAATTTTAACCATTACTGTCCAACCACAAGGTTTTGAATTTCATTTTTCATTTGAATTGAGTCTTAGAATATCTTCTGGTTGATGAAAATTTCAACAAATGAAAACTTAAGTGAAATATGATTATACAGAGGGGAATTTTCAGCACAAAATGTGGGTCAATTTCAAGTGAAGTGTCCTGGAAGAGGTCCATGTTTCTATGGAAGAGGTCCATGTTTCTATGGAAGAGGTCCATGTTTCTATGGAAGAGGTCCATGTTTCTATGGACATGAATACAATACAAGACAAATTTTATTTTGAATATTTGTAAAATGAAAGAAGATATTCAATGATATTCAGTTGACTGTGGTTGGAGAGTAAAATCTTTACAAGATGGCTGGTTTCCATCTAAAAACACACTTACTCACAAATTATATAAAAAAACCCAAGAAATCAAGACGTCTTGACATTGGTTTGATTAAAATAACTAATGACCAGTTAAGACGCAAAAATATTTTATAACATTTAGTACACATGACCCACACTTTATTCCAATTTCATCATATTCCTGAAGAAATGTAATAAATTCTACAAATATTCTTCCAATGAAATCAAAATTCAGATCAAAACACATACAATTATTCATATATTACCATCTGAACATTGACAAATATTTTTTAATGTTAGTCAGACATCACTGGCAACTTTAGCCACCTACCTCAAAATGTCACGATATCCCTGATATGTCAAAATTCCTCAATATATTTCTACTGAATTCAAAACACTTAGAAAATTCCAAAGGCTCACATAATACAAACAAATGATTTTTCTATCAACATTTTCAAAGTTATTCAGAATTGACCGGCTGACAAGTTAAAAATACCATAATAGCTTCTAATTGATTTAAAAACTCTCCAAAAATCACCAATTAAAACCTAAAGGCTTGATATATATTCACAGAATAGAGTAAGATGACTTTTCTGTTCTTTTTTGCAACATTAGTCAGTCATGACTGGTAAATATACTCACATGAAAATCCCTGAAAATTTTTAAATGCAATCACAAACCCTCTTAAATGTCAGAACTAAATTCCAAATGTTCTGAAAGTTCTTGAACAAAATTCCAACAATAGCTTGTACCAACGACCAATAATAATAACCACTTTCTAACTATGTTCATTATATTTCTCTTCAAACATGGGTCCTGTGGGACCGACAATTTTAGCCAGAATCTAATTAGAATTCCTATTGAACAGCAGTAGCGTCCCCTAGGAATTTCTGCTTCTGACAAATTAACTGTTAGTTCCATCATTTTAAACATTTTTTAACAATTCCTGAAACTCTGTTCTGTACAACTTGTCTAAATGTTTATACAATTATTACCAATTTTCTCCAATTTTAGGCAACTTTTCTTTTTTTGTTTATAATTCAAGATCTGTAGAAACATTTTATTTCTTCAATCTATAGTTTAATGTCATTTCTTAGTTAGAACAGTAAGCCAATCTAGAGGATGTAAAGAAAGATGAATTTCAGATAGCCAATCTAGAGGATGTAGAGTCTTTAAAATCTCCGTTAGCCACCCTGGAGGAAATGAAGTAATTTAAATCTCAGATAGCCAATCAAGAGGATTTTAAGTCTTTTATATCTCTGTTAGCCACCCTGGAGACTGTAAGATAAAATCTCCGTGTCAGTAAGCCAACCTGGAGGATGAAGAGGATTAAAATCAGTGACAAAATAAATACAGTAAAGATCAGAGTTGAATGTAAAATAGATTTTTACAGATTTAAACCTGACCAGTGAGATTAAGTTTACAGGGTGAACTGTCTAGGCTATATAGTCTGTTTTACATCTTCTATTAAAGGGATTATAGAATTATTGTTTTTGGAATTTCAAGATCCACAGACGTCTGATTGAAAATAGGCCTAAAGGGATTGTAAAGATTTCTAAATTTTGTATATTTATCAGGGACACTGATAACATCAATTTACCTCTTCCAAATTTTCAGTCAGACATCTGTACTTGGTGTAATATATTCCATGAAGATTAAGCTTTCCATAATGTCCAATCTAAAAAGGACTAAGCTTTTGAAATACTAATGTCTTAAAACGCTTAGTTTTTTGGAGAATAACATGAAAAATAGACGTCTGACTGAAAAATACAAATTATAAATTGATAGACTTAGTCCTCAAGTTCTTATAAAGCCAGTAATGCAGTATAAAATACTTTCTGACAGTTGGTCAATTTTCTATCAAGGGGATGTTGAGAATGGCCTGTTGATCTGAGTCCTGCAAGAAACATGAGACATAAAAACAACCAATGATAAAAACTTGTTTAAAGTCTGTATCATAGAAGTTGAATTTTGATTGAAAGAATTTTAATGAAATGACCCCAGGCCATTTTAACTTAATTTTTAATTCTTTAATCAATTCGTTAAGTAAACATATAGTTGTGTATATATGTAATTCAATTATAATAGCTTGTATAAAACAGTAACATACACCCATAGCAGATGTTACAGTCCTATAACATACAAATTTTCTCATCTGGCTAGCAGATTGCTTATTACAATGACAGTTTTCTGTGGTCAGAATGAGACTAGAGTATACCAAACTATCGTGTCTAACTAGCTAGAAGATTGCTTGGTATAATGACAGTTTTCTGTGGTCAGAATGAGACTAGAACATACCAAACTATCATGTCTAACTAGCTAACAGATTGTTTGGTACAATGACAGTTTTCTGTGGTCAGAATGAGACTAGAGTATACCAAACTATCGTGTCTAACTAGCTAGTAGATTGTTTGGTACAATGACAGTTTTCTGTAGTCAGAATGGGACTAGAACATACCAAACTATCATGTCTAACTAGCTAGTAAATTAGATTGTTTGATACAATGACAGTTTTCTATGATCAGAATGGGACTAGAGTATACCAAACTATCTAGCAGATTGCTTGGTACAGTGATAGTTGCCTATAGTCAGAATGGGACTAGAACATACCAAACTACTGTATCTAACTAGCTTGCAGATTACTTGGTACAATGACAGTTTTCTATGGTCAGAATGAGACTAGAACATACCAAACTATCGTGTCTAACTAGCTCTCAGATTACTTGGTACAATGACAGTTTTCTATGGTCAGAATGAGACTAGAACATACCAAACTATCGTGTCTAACTAGCTAGTAGATTGTTTGGTACAATGACATTTTTTCTGTAGTCAGAATGAGACTAGAACATACCAAACTATCCTGTCTGTCTAACTAGCTAACAGACTGTTTGGTACAATGACAGTTTTCTGTAGTCAGAATGAGACTAGAACATACCAAACTATCTTGTATGTCTAACTAGCTAACAGATTGTTTGGCACAATGACAGTTTTCTGTAGTCAGAATGAGACTAGAACATACCAAACTATGGTGTCTAACTAGC